TTTCGTATAAACTCCAATGGAGATTCCCACATTTACATACATACATATGTACATATTTAAAAAGTTTTGTGCCGCATGTTGCTATGTAAATGTGTATGTGCTTATATACATACATATATGTATGATATGTATGTATGCATGAAGATACTTCTGCAGCATCCATCTATCCATCAACTCCTATCTTCTTTTTTACGTTCACATTTGCTCTTCTCATCCATCCACCTTTAGATTCATCGTCAGAAAATTATGCTGAAAATCTATTATTTTGTTGTTGTTGTTGTTGTTTTTTTCTTCAGCATTTTTTGTTAAGGCAGAAGTTTATTCTTATTTTTACAATGCATACATACATACACATGTAGACATGTACACACTTCCATAAATATGTATGTATGCATGTATATGGAATTAGTTTTTACTAAGAATATACTCTGCTTGTTGGTATTTGTATATTTAGCAGAGATACTTCTAACTAATGAGTGTAAGCTGCTGCTCACAATTAGATCCAACGTGGGCAGCATCTTCTTCTGATTACTTCTATTTAAATGATATTTAAAATTGAAATAATACTGTAATATAGCATGACTTTTCAAATATATTTTTATGTTTTAGATATGAATCTTTAGGTTGTATCAGCTTTTATATTTTCTTATTGGAAACTTTAACACGTTGAGAGGCTCTCTTACATAGAAATTTATTTTTCCTAAAATTGGAATAAATTTTGCTATAGATTTTATTTAAAAAAAAAATATTTATTTATTTAGTTTTCATATTTTTATGGCAAATATTCAAAAATGTGTACTGAAAAAAAGAGAAAAAAATTTATAAAACATTAGAACAACAACACTGACCACAATTTATATCCTTGGAAATGATTTTAAGACTTACTTGTATGTATAAATTTTTATCAAGCTCGTGTTGCACTTATAACAATAATAAAATTTTTTTTTTGGAGTTATTTTGAATTCTTCCCCAGAAAATGATTTTTAGCAATATAAATTTTTAGTGTTAGTTGTTCATTCTGTAAACATTTCATCTTCCATATATAAATACCAAAAATAAATTTGGATTAATTTCATTTTTGTGATGTGTCACCTCAAAAACGGAAATAAATAAATCTTTTTTTTTTGTAATGAATTTCATAAATGTAAATCCAATAGTTATAGACCGCTAGCGCGCAGCTAAACGCAAATAGAAACTATATTTGAGCTACACAGTTCTGAAAGAGTAAACACACACACACACAGACGCACATGAGCTTAGGTAAACCTATTTACATATGTATGTATGTATGTATATATATTCTTGTATACGCTCTTACCTACAATTCCGTTACCTATCTGACTATTTGTAAATACACACCTACATATGTACGAGTATGCAAATATGTATGTATAAATATAGACATTTTGTATATATATATATATGTATGTACGTTCAGCAGTTTCCATACTTGCATATGGTCTAAAAGCAAAGCGGTACAAAAATGGCGTATTGACTGATTGAGTGAATGTCAGAAGAACGGCAAACATTAACTAACTGACTGACTAGTTGCCCGGTTCAGTAACTCCACGGCTGACTAACTGGATAGCTATGCGCATATGAACATATCTTATACAAAGTCATGGATTTTATTCAATTGTTATAGACGAATATTTTATATATTATATATATTTTAGTTCACAATAATATATCTTTGAACAGCCATTCTATGAGAATTCAGAGTTTGTCTTGAGATTGTGAGGATCTTCAAATCGCTAGCTTTTCAATTATTTTATTTATTTTTATTGTTTTCATATAATATTCTTTATTTTGTCTTATTTAATTTTTGTCGACATTTTTTTTTTTTGTATTTTAATGTATTTTAATTCCTTTATTTTATTTTGTAATATTTTACTTTTTTTTATGTTACTTTATTTTGATTTATTTCATTTGATTTTATTTATTTTTTAATTATTTCATTAAGTTTATGTTTTATTCCACTTTATTTTATTTTATTTTTTTACTTCATTTTTTATTATTTTATTTTATATCGTTTTATGTTATTATTATTTTATTTTATATTTCTTTAGTTTATTTTATTTTCCTTTAATTTAATTTTACTTTATTGTATTTCGTTTGATTTAATTTTATTTTATTATATTTTACACCTATTTTATATTTTATGTTATTTAATTCAATTTTGGCTTTTTTTTTTAGTTTATTTTTATGTTATTTTTTTAAATAACATAAAAGTTTATTTGATTTTATTTAACTCTATTTTTTATATTTCTTTATGAGATTTTATTTAGTTTAATTCAATTTATTTTCATTTTATTTTGTTTCCTCTGGTTCATTATTTATTTAACTTATTCTATGTTTTTTGTATTTTGTTTTGTTTTAATTTATTTAATTTATTTTTTTTTTATATTTTTAATTTTTGTTTATTTTTTTCTTCTATTTTTTAAATTTTATTTTATTTCAATATAATTAATTTAATTTTTTACTACTTTTACCAAATTAAAATAAAGACTGTTTTCTACCTTGCCCAAAATAAAATGTGACAATTTCCAGTTTTACTGATTACTTTATTTAATATTATTTCACACTTATTTATTTTTCATTGTAAATCTTTAGTTTTCATTTCTAACTACCTTTAAAGTGTCGTCGTCCACATTTGGCTCAAACTGTTGAAGCTCGCTAGACAAGTTGCAAGAATACCGTATAACGTATGTACATATGTGGGTATGTGTTGTAGTTGTTATTGCTGAGAGATAAAAAGGTAAGCAAAGAATTTCAAACAGGAAATTCAACACTAACACTTGGCACGTTTTTTTTTTCACAAAATACAGATTTTCGTAGTAAATTTTCTTATTATTGATATTCTCTACACTTCAGTAATTTAGTAGTAATTTCAATATTTTAAGTTAATATACTCGTGTATGTATGTTTGTATTTATTTTGAAAAATTCAAACGCTTCTTTACACACTTTTCCGATTTGCTATGATTCTCCGACTTCGTATCTTTAGCACTTCGCTGACAAACACAAAAAGTCGAAAAGTCGTTAAAGGCCAAATGAGAAGTAAAAATTAATAACTTTCAAGGAAATCGGTAGGATTTTATTAAAAAAAATAAAAGTAACACTTGGAATGACACCAAAGTAAAAAATCAACGTATACAAAATATTAACCGCGCGCACACACACCTATACGCACACGTATTCTATATACACGTATATACACGGTAAATGCCAAACCAAGTGCAATTCGTCGTTCCTCGTTACGCCCACAAAACAGTAAATTGTTATTTTTATTTCTAATGCAATATGCAGGTCCGTACGTACACGTCCGACGTCGGCAACAGATCTCGTAAAACTAAATTCAAACCTGCAAGAGATTGACCAGTCAATGTTTTTACTCGGTTACATGTACGAGTACATTTGATGGTAGGCATGTGTGTGTGTATGTGTGCATAAAGACACATAGATACGAGTACCTGCGCTGTTACCATACCCATAAAAGTATCTTTGCCATACAACACAGCTGGCTGAGTTTGCTAAGAGCGCCAATGGTTCGTCAGCCAGATACATCGCATTCAAACAAACACATTTAAGTGAGATACATCGTGGTGAGAAAACTATGTATCTCTTATTGGATGTACAAGTATGTGGTGGTGCCGTTGTGTGTTCGAGATACCCGACAGTGTGTCGATGGTGCTGCACAAAGCCATCTGACACAATGCCACCCGAATATTACTGCCCTACAACGTACCATTCAATGCAACGCTGTACAGTGCCAACAAGTTGGCAATAAACCGAATTGAAACGAGCTGCAACAGAAAACTTATAATACACATATATAGTTTGCAGCACGTCAGAGAACTTGTAACTATTAAAGGGTGACTTTTTCAGAGCTAAAGAAAAGTTAAAAAAAAACACGTAAAATTCAGAAAAATGCATGAAATCTTTATTTGAATCGATAGTACGGTCCATATAATTTAATGTTTGAAGATTATTTCCTGCAAATGGTCCATCCGTTTAGTCCAATTTTAGTATAAGGCAAATATGAGCTTCGTCATTAAACAGAATTTTTTTATTTTATTTTATATTTTTTAACTTTCCTAACAAAGCCCGCATTTTGATAATAAAATTCAATCATTTGCAAGCGTTGTTCGGGCGTAAGGCGAACAATGGCCAAACCAGTGTTGCCGAAAAGATACTAGCTAAAAAATCACCCTATATAAGTTATTATAAGTTCTCTGCTGCAATTCTCTTCTATTTAAATGAGTTGGTCTAAACGTGGTTAGCTGGACGAAAGGGTGACAGCCCTTGGCTGGATAAAATCCGGGTCAACTCTGGTACAAAGAATCGGCTGTATTGAGAGTTATTTAAAGAGAGTTTAAATGAGTTCGTATAAAACTTTGTTTTCCTATATTTTTTTAAAAATGGAAATACGATATAACACCGTGTCTTTATTATACGACAATATTTCGAAAATTATAAAACAAGTTATTAAAATGACAACATCGTGACTATCCAGGAACCTCAATTCGGCGTCATGGAGAATTTCAAATTTTAAGAAGCTTTCCCTGAAAAAAGACCCCTCAACTTAGAAGAATACTCTTTCATCTTAATTTCAACAAACGAATGCATGGAAAACCGTGGACGCTAATTGTCCTATGTGATATTCCATAAATAAAAGCCCTTTCTTATGTACTTTATGATTCAAAAAAAAAAATATATATATATATATAATCGAAAGACTAAACACAGTGTTTTCTATTTCCAATTCAATCTTGTGTTATTTTTAGGACACCCTTTATTTTAATTTTTATGTTTTAAAAGAATGTAATTTGTTTAGGAGCTAAAGCATTTCTTTGGTTTCAGGCGCTGGCTTAAAACGAAAACAAAGTCTCTTTCTAAATACCAAAATCAAAAAATTAATTTTTGAAAAATATTTCACATTTCATTTCATATATCCACATATATTAATACATAAATATATATATTTTTAAAACAATGTGATTTTCTATATGTCCAAACAAAACATCCTTTTATTCATTCATTTACGTATAAAAATAGTTTCAACATTAAGCTTAAAGCCTACTGTCTAAACGACATATTTTAGTGACAATATAATGTCTTAAAGCAATAAACGCAGAAACAGCTTTAACTACGACAACCAGTCATCAAAAGCATCCTTGTCCGGATATAGGGTGAAAATTGCAGGTAAATCGTTCATTGCCTTCGCGGCAGAAACATCCTGGTTTCGCACTTCTCTGCAGGTGGCCATAGCACATACACTCAATTGTGATAAGTTGTTAGCCATGCCTTCAGGTGATTTGGTCGGTGTTATACACATTGTGGTGCTTTTACTTAGCGTATTTCTGTTGCAGTTCAGCTGGCGAGGACAAAATTTTATGAAACTTGTAATCGATGGTTGGAAATTACGATGTCTACTCTTTAGGTTGCGATATTTATACCACTTTTCTGGTATCTTTGGCGTAATACATGGATTACCCTGTATAACAGGCACTGTACTGATGACCTCATGTGGCTTTAAATATGTTACAAAACGTTCCAATTCTGCATGACTGGAATGTTCAGAGTATTCAATGCCGACAACATTTATTTGGCCGCGCAATTGTGATTTGGTGTTTTTCTCCCAACCGGATGGCCGGAATGCAAGCACTGCATCGAATTGTGTTTTAAATGGTTGGAAATATTCAACCAGTGACTATTATATAAAACATTATACGTTTATATTACCTTAAAATTATGGAATAAGTAATTATGCTACTTACGTGATAACTGACTTTTCCAATCGATATAACATGCAATTGTGCTTCCATTGGATCATCACAGAGTAAGCCACGCACTTCTTCCAAGTCCATTGCTTGCAAAGCTTTCAACCGATGCTTTTCTGTCCATACTTTTAAGTCAAACTCTTGTGCTATACTTGTCCAAAAGCGTTCTTTACCAATCACATATGAGCCACAGATATATAATACGCGCTCTGCTGGACGCTTACTACGAAAATCTTTTATTATATCTTTAGCCCGCGTGATACTCTCGTATTGTGTAGAAAAATTATTCTTATGTGATATGTATGTTGTATCTAGATATATTGCATCAATGTTATTATTCCAAAATATCGGCTCTGATTCCATGTCGGATGAGGCGCGAAAGTCTCCTGTATGTAAAATACAACGTCCGGTGGTTAATTTGAATACGAACATTACGGCACCCGGACAGCTACATAAAGGAAAGACAAAATGATAAGCTACACATTCTATTTGCATTTATAGGCAGCACTTACTGATTTGCATCAATTGCTGTGACTTCGACATCCGCGATTATGTGGGGTGAGTTCAGTTCGATTTCGTGCAAATACTCTTCCCCCACAGGTATGAACGCCCGCACTAGTCTTGCTGGAAATACAAAAAATACATATCCGGGATTTTTATTATGCTTAACTCTTTTGTACTTCTCTCTTTAGAAGAAATATTTCTTCCAAAACACACTTTATAGTTTTATCAAACTCAATAATATAAATATACATACCTGTTATGGGGCTAACATATATTGGCATGGCAAATTTACGCGTCAGTCCTTGATAGTGATCGGCATGGAAATGGGTAAGAAAGTAATGTGTAACGCCACTAATCTCACCATACTGGAAGGCATCAACAGCAAAAGTAGTACCAGCTACTTTCTTATACGGTGGACAAATGCGCATTTTCTTCACCCTACCGCCTTTAGAGGTAGATGGTAGCTCTACAGGAGAAGCTTTCGACGAATCTTTACTTTCACACCTATTACTGACTGCGTCATAATTCGTCTGAGGTGGGGTAGGTGGGGTATTAACATTTACTTTTTCATCTTTTATCTTGTCTACGTCCTTTTGAGCTGAAGTATTTTTCTCGGGATTTTTGGAACTTACTTGCTCAGATGTTTCTTCTTTTACTACAATATTATTTTGGTTACCGTTTGGAGTGTGATCTTCACCTTCTGTTTTAAATTTTAAACAACTTGGTGAAATCGCAGCTCCGCTGTATTTCACAATTTGTTTAGTATACTTGACTTTTTCTTCGGCCTTATCATTAGTTTTTTGATTTACAGGAATAGTAACCATCGGTGGGGCCTCTATGGTGACGTGTTTATTGTTGTTATCATCTTCGAGCGAATAATCGGATAAATTATTTGATACAATCCTTGGAGTGGTTTCGCCCTTTTCCTCTTCTTCCTCAGCAGAAGAGCATAAATTTATAGGATCTTCTATAGCTTGCAGGTTGTTTTTCCCTTTACTGCGTTTAACAGGACGACTTCCAGTTTTTGCGGTACTGGAGCGTTTAAGGTTGCTCTTTTTTGATGTTGATGCCATATCTGAGAAACCACTCAAACTTGATTTTGTCGCGGTGCTGCAATCATCATTTTCTTTGAATAAGCGTTTTCGTCCTTTAGCTCCTCTTGCTCTACTCCCTCTACGTGTTGAACTCTTCGTATTTGTTTTAGCTGTTTTTCTGCTTTGTGCAGTTGAATACAATTTTTCTTCCTTCACTGAAAGTGGCTCGATTTTGTACGACTTGGTACAACTTTTGAAAAAAGTATCAATACGTAATTGAGTCGGTGGTGGTTCTCTTGACCGAGAGTTTTTCCTTGCCGTAGTTTGGATATTATCGGTAATAACAGTTACATGTGTAGCAACAGCTAAAGTGCCCTTTTCAAGAGCTCCCAATGATTTCTTTCGGGTTGTTGTGGCAGCTCTTTTACTTACTTTTCGTTTGCTGCTAATTTGTGAGGATATAAGCGGCGTTGTTGGTTCATTTTTGGATAAGTAATTGATATCTTTATTTTTATCACTGGGAATATATTTACACTCATTTAATATATTTTTAAAACTAGCGTTCTTACTCATAATAACTTTTTTTATATTGTTGCATCCATTGGTTATCAGATGCCGCGAAATTTTCTTATCTTCTTGTTCTTTGCGTTTTCCGCCATTCGCAATAAAATATTTACTCGTAGGTTAAAACAAAGAACGTATGCTAATATACGTTCTTTGGTTAAATGATACGAAAGTTCGTCGCATCAAAGAGCCAGGTAAACAAGCGACAGGGTTGGGTTTAAGCCATACTATAGAGCCATGTAACCAGGGAAGGAAGTGTGGCAAAGCTACGTGGTTTCCTTCAGATAAACTTAAAAAATTATGTATTAGGTGTCATTACATATTTTATGAGTTGCATAAAAAGTCCTTACTATTGTAATATTCATTTAAAATAAAATATGGAGAGTAGTGCCGATCAAACCAAGCTTCCTTCTGGGAAAGAAAGTAATGAATAAGAAAAATATAATTTTGACATATAGCCTGCCCTTGTCATATACGTTCTATGGCTTAAAAACATTTGAATTCGCTTTAGTGTCAGTGCAACACTGTTTGTGAACTGTAACTCACCATAAACCGTCAGACGAATGGAAAGAAGCAGCAAAATTGTAATTCAGTTTTTCCTCGATTTTGAAAGCAATTGGTGATGAAAAGTTTTTATACAGGATTTTCTAACAACTTCTAATTGGAATTCCACTTGCCAATAATCCCTAAACAAAAAGTTAAATATATAATACCAATATACAGTGGGCAGCTGTGAAATTAATATTGATAGTAATTTAACTAGAATACATAAAGAAATCTAAAAAAACATATATTTAATACATACAAATTAAAAGTAAAAAGTGTGAATATGAAAATGGAAAAATCTATAACACCAAGTGGAAATGAAAATGAAGTGAATGAAATTGTACACAAGTGGTGTGGCGCAGCGTACGTTGGATAAGTGGGTCTATGTAGTTTTGTCGGTGCGAGGCATGAGATGCAGAGAAGAGTGGAGTATTTGTTCAGTGTAATAAAGGTGAAAACAAAAAATGTATTGAGACTCCCAAGGTGTTAAAGCGAGTATTTTAAAAATAGGATCAAGAAGAAGTGACAAAAAAGTAAAAAAAAAAAATATATATTTGTAAAATAAAAGAAATTTGATTCCTATTGTTTTGCTTGGGTGCTTCTCTTGTCTTTTGTCACTTGAGGAAGTAAAATTCAAATGCTAAGATAAAAAACGAAACAAACAATGGAATAGTAAAAGATACAGCAAAGGCAAGAGTTGTGGAAATGGAGCGATTATGCCAGCAATGACATCCATATAAATAAACTACGAGCCGTGTAGCCAAACATAAAAATAGTTATAAGAAGATTCATATACGCATATGTATATATCGTACAAATAATACAATATATTACGGTAGCTACGGTTAAAGCAGGGGGTGCAGAAACGTCGAACGACCACAAGTCCATAAGTGAAAATTGCACGTTAACCGGTTAACCTGACGTACAAATAAGCAGAGCATTTTCGACTATCATGCACATTTATCCATAGAGTAGGATTGAATGTGTGCTATCTTTTAAGATTGCTACTCGGACAGAGGTGGTGGTGGAGGTGAAAACGACGAAGACAACAATTTTATAATTGGGAGACGAGCTGTGAACACGTTCCAGAAGCAAGTGTAAGTAATGCAACAAATCATATACCCACTTTTATACAAACATACGTATGTAAATACTTATGCAGACACATTCCGTGTGGATATAAATTAATTAATTGCGCTGCTGCAAATTCTTGTCTGTCATATCATCGTATCTGCGTACTGGATTTCAATGAGATTTTCACTTTTCACTCCTTTCCAGTTGCTGTATGAAGCATGTCTGTAATAAACTATGTAGCTACATACATATATACTATATGTATGCAAGCGCACACATGTATACAAAAAAAATATAATGACATTTCATCTTATAATAATGCGAGACAAATTGCTATGACTATATTTGAAAAACATTTCTGTGCTATAAATTTTTTCAATTGCCCTTGGACAGTATAACAAAATTCACATATCGCATGCACGTGTATACACAAAAGCTAAAGCCGAACTAATCTATTACAATCTGTGATTTCCTTGCAAGTTCAAGAAATAGTTCTGAAACAGATTATCGACTCACCCTTATGCATATCTATATGTGCGTACGAATGTGGTTATAATAAGTCATAATTGCCGAAACTTAATTATGTTAGTTAATAACATCACATCATCGGCGGCAATAGCTATAATAAATACTGGAATACACGTTAACAACAACAACAACAACAACAACAACTACAACACAATTAACGCCCAACCACTGTAATTTAACATATTTTTGAGATAAGTTAGCATTGTGCATAGGTTTGTCTGTATGCACATATATACATATGTATGTGCCTTGTTGCTTATACTTGAAGCTGCCGGTGTTTCCAACCAAAGCTATTTTTGTCCTAAGAAATCTAATTCCCAGTACATGGATATTTTCACGTACATACAATATTTCCTGTATATAAAAGCTTATATTTAAATTTACTTTCTCAGCGGCGATGACAACATAACATAACAGTAATAGTTATTATTATTTAGTAGCTGGTGACGTCACAAAAAAGTATCAGTTATAAACAGTGTGCTAAGAATATTATATGGGTGCATATAAATACAATATATACATATGTACATGTGTACATCCTTCAAGAGAATGGCTTGAAAAACTATTAATTATTTTTCATTGGGATAAGAGGACACACATATGTTTTTAACACACTTACATATTTAATAGGACACACATACAACTAGCTACAGAAAACTACAATAAACTTGTGTGCTAGCAAATATATGTACATATGTGTATATGTTGTTGGTACCTAGTATATGTTTATTGCGTGCGCTGGCATTCCAGTACTAATGAAATTTGTTTATATTTTGGAAAATAAAATAAGCAAGCTTTTAGCGTTTTGGAATTTTGATTTTAGCGATCTTTAGAAGACTTTTCGAATTGCTGTGTACACTAGGGTGGTTTAAGAAAAAATTAAAAATGCCAACCAGAAAGCCTAAAGCCGACAAATTAATTGTAATGTTTTATTTTGAAATTGTTATTGCAAATACCTGCTTTTTGGAATGTTAAATTGAAATAACAAAAATACATGATGAATTTACAATAATTTTTGAAATTTAATTTTTATATTAACAAACTACTTTTTAAATAGAGAATTTTAGCAAGGTGGTAGATTAAAATTTTTAGTAATAGTTTGTCATATTTAGAAGGAGAAAAGTTTTTTTGCGGTTGACTAAGACCAATGCGAAAGAAATATAGTAAAAATTACCGTTATTTCGAAAATTATTTCCTCAGAAAATTAAATAACTCTTTAAATTTTTTGATGATAGATTAGAGCTCACTAATTAAACCTTCTTCGTATATGAAGCCAATACCAGAAAGAGTTCAATTTTGGTGACCCCCTATAACATGTAGCCCCAATACATCCCATTATATACAGTAAATACTTCAATAACTCATATAAGAACATGAAATTTTGGTATTTTACACATATAATATATTTTACAGTGGAACCGAAAATCATCGAAATCCGAGGGCTATTCGTATAGCCCGAGTTATAACCGATTTGTACAGATACGAGGTTTTAGGTCACATTTCAAAAATGAAATACCGTAAGGTTTAAAGAATTAGGCTCGCTAAAATACTCATGTACATATATATAAAAATAAAAAATTTCTTAAATTTTGTAATATTAACCCATTTGCCGAAACATTGCTATAAAATTGAGAAATCTTAGACAAAAACTGGAACCGAAGCACAATAAAAAAAGATTTCCTTCGTTTTCCTTCGTTATATCGCATTGTTCACATATGTATGTATGTGTGTATGTTTATATAAAAAAGTTCTTTAATAAGTGTGATTTTGATTTTCAAATACACTTTTCCCTTAAAATATCGATAATATTGTCTTGTTGACAGTAAACGCTGTCCAGATCAATACCACCCAATTCCGGCCAGACAAAATCATTAATCATATATCGATAGCGCAATCAGTTCATTTTCGAAAAAGTAAGTTTCAATGACCGACCGCACCAAAATCTTGGGTTTTCCGAACCCCAGATGCCATCGAGGGTGGGGAATGGGTCTCATCAGTTTGGATGATTTTTCAACGAAATTTTTATAGTGAATTTTAATAATTTCAATGCGTTGTCCGGCGTTTATCGTACCATTTTTCTTACTTGTCAAATGTCAAAAAATAAAGCTTCAAAAGTGACATCTACCGGAAAATAACACCTCTTATTGGAAAACCCTTTACTACACATAATATTTTTTATACGTTTTTAATGGTTTCAGTTTGACATTTTAATCATTTCCCAATCATGCACACAAGTACAATATTTAATCTCTATTTGTTTATTTGGTTGTTGTGAAAAGTGTCGCAATGCTTGATCGGATGACCCTACCCATAAAAAGTGAATATTTCTTTGATTTCCAAATACCCAAAACACTTGTTAAGTATTTGAATATTTTTTTATTGTCATATTTGTTGTCCAATCAATTTTTCACTGACATTCTTCAAATTGTAATTTCTTCTATAAACAGCATTACATATGTACATAATAATATGTATGTATGTACATATATATGTACATGTGAATATGCGACATGCAACTTGGCGCCTCGACCTCATTTTGCGTTGCGTGTGCGTTCGACTGAAAACCCCCATTTGCATATGTATGTACTATGTATGTATGTATTTGAGGCTTATACTGAGCGAGCTCCGTTCCTCCTTCCGCAATACGCAATAAATTTGTTAAATTCTGTACATTTTCTCTGCTAATTTATTCATAAATGTGCATAAATGCTCTCAACGGAGTTAACTACTTCACTAATTCTCTTAAACAGCAAAAAAAAAAGGAAACCGCTCACGCAACTAACTACATACTTATGCACACAAATTGTTCTTAAAGTTGTCCTTGAGCTTTTCAAATCATCTTCTTTTCATGGAAAACACTCCTAACCATTGTGTCCATCAGAGAGATTAAGCGAAAATCGGTGCTTTCTTTCGAGTATCTTCAACATCAAGAAGTGGAGGTTTTTTGGTTTCAAATTTTAAGGTCATTGTACGTTCTTTTCCGAAATTTTGGTTCGAAAACTACCCAGATTCTTTTGCAACTTCTTGTAGATCCTTGCTTTGTACATCCTTTCCAGTCACGGAAGCCGCAGGGGCCGCTTTAAATGGTGTTGATCTGTTGATGGTTGATTCTTTTTCGTCAAAAACCGTGTAAGCGGTGCCACGCCAAATGAGAAAATGAAGAAGAATAATAGGAAGATCTTACTATTCTTGTCAGCTTTCTCTAGAGGGATAGATTCAGATAGATCTCCATGCATATCTTGGGAGTAAGATTTTAGAATTTGTGACTTTTTTAATTCGTCTTCGTAAACTGGACGCAGCCCATGCAAATCTAATCCCGTGGCGTCGGCAATTTCGAGTCAAAGTACAAACAGTTTTATTTCATTCAAGAGTGTGGATATTAGTAAGAGACATTTTAGTGTGGCGGAGTGGCGGCATTACCGTAAGAATTATTAATTCGTCATTTTTTTATTTTTTCAGAAAAATGTCTGATCTTTTTATTGCGTTTTTATATGATTATTAACTATTCCACAAGTGTACGTGTGAGTGGTTTGTGTGTTTATCCGTTCATTTGAGTTATTCTTCTGCTTTATATTTCACTTTCAATTTGCTTCTCGGCGAAATGTTGAAATTGTTGTTTATTTTGTTCTCGCTGATTTTTTGCCCTCCGGAATGAATTCCATCTTAATAGCTTTTGATGTCTTTAATTTAGATTTATTTATTCCAAATGCCGCGAATCCAGCATTGTATATTGATGTTGTTATTTTTGTTGGGGTTTTTACTTACTGCATTGTTTTTGTACTTGTATTTTATCAAAGAAAATCTGGTGGATAAAATCAAATAGTTTTACTTTAACAAAAATTGCTGTGATCGCATGTTTTTTTAGATTTGGGTTTCTCTGAGTTTATTTCGACCGAATCAATCAGTATATTTAAATATATTTTTGGCTTAAAATCGATAAAAAATATCTATATATATTTTACATACGTACATATGCATGTAGTCCGCAAATTTATATGAAAGAAACCGAAACAGTTCATTGGCACTTTTTTCAGTTCTAATTGTACATTTGGCTTCGATAAAATTCTCTAAAATCCTTTTAAAGGTGCAAAGAGTAAGACAAATTTTTAAAAAGCAATGTGTTTGTAATTAACGGTAAGGGTTTGCCTTTGATATGTCATATTGATGAGTGCATAAGTTCGTGCCCGAGTCCGCTAGATGCCGTTCGAATCGTTTGAGAGTGGCGCTCGTGAAAGAAATATATACATACTATATATCGTTGGTAAGGTGACTGTAAATCAAGCATAAAATAACTTCATTTTGATTTGAGTTGCTTAGTGAAAAGACGCATGGAAGATGGACAACGAAAAAGATCATATGCGTCGTATTATGTTATACGAATTCCACAAAGGAAAAACAGTAGGCGCTGCAACTAAAGATATTCGCGAAGTTTATTTGGACCGTGCTCCAGTATTCGCGAAATTTCGTTCTGGAGACTTTAACCTCGAAGATCAACCTCGCAGTGGATGGCCTTCTGAGCTTGATGACGATGTTCTAAGGACTTTAGTTGCGAATAACTCACGTATTTCGACGGAAGAGGTTGCCAGTGAATTGAACGTCAACAAATCAACTGCGTTTCGTCGTTTGAAAAAGGTTGGGTACACTTTGAAGCTCGATACATGGGTGCCACATCAATTGAGTGAAAAGAACAAAGTGGACCGTATGTCAACAGCAATTTCTTTGCTTCGACGGATCAAAAACGAACCTTTTTTGGATCGGCTCCTGACTGGTTATGAAAAATAGATCCTGTACCACAATGTTCAACGCAAAAGAACATGAAAACAGGCACACGAAGGGGCGGAACCGATGTCGAAAGATGGATTGCATCCTATGAAGGTACTGCTGTGCATTTGGTGGGATATCCGAGGCATGATCTATTTTGAGCTCTTGCCAGCTGGAGAAACGATCACTGCCAACAAGTATTGTCAGCAATTGGTCGAATTGAAGAAAGCAATTGATGAAAAACGTCCGATTTTGGCCAATCGCAAAGGAGTTCTTTTCCATCATGACAACGCCAGGCCGCAAAACCGACCCTGGCCAAACTTAAGGGGATGAATTGGGAAATCACGCCGCATCCCCCATATTCACCCGACATTGCACCTTCTGATTATCATTTGTTTCGATCGCTGCAGAACAATTTGAATGGAAAAAAATTTAAAAATGTGGAAGACGTCAAAAACCACCTTGACACCTTTTTCAACGAGAAACCGCGCGATTTCTATGAATCAGGCATCCGTAAATTAGTTGAACGTTAGGAGTGGATTGCCGAACATGATGGCGAATACATAATTGATTAATAAAAGCGCTTTCTTCAAAAAATTTCAATTTTAGCTTGCACTTGAACTTGTGCACTCATCCATACTTAAATGTCCCGTGTGACATTTGTACTAAACGGCGTAAAAAACATATTCTAAAAAATGGAACCTCTGATAGATGTTCATAGTGAGCTTATTGCGGGTAGGAAATCCTCCAGATTACAGGATAACCCTTTCCCTAGATCTAAAATAGGCTGGAACACGTTTTCAGACTCTCAATGATCAGCATCACCGGAACATTCAAAACAATATTATCTGCGCCTGTCTTTCGAAAAGCTTCTAAAAGCTGCTACAGAGGCAGACTGTTGGTGGAGAAGTCTGGGGCTGACAGGCAAAACTTTATAACTTTATAAAGGTTCTCAGACGAATGTTGTGTCGGCACTACAGTTTACTGTTGAAACAGATTTGGCAATCACAAATTAAATAAACGCAGTCGATAGATTTTCATGTCGAGGCTAGAAATATCCGTTTTATAACTTTTAGCCATTTTTTAGGTCATTGTTTTTCTTTTCCATTTTCCTATCAGCAAAAAATTTGGTCAATCTATGTTCACTGTCTTCTCTTCAGGCTAATTATTCACCAGACAAATCATTAGTCAAAGGCAGAAACAGATGGTAATCACTTGGACGAATGCATAAGAACCTCCCAACAAAGCTGTAGCGGCTTCTGGGTAGTCTCAGTCGATGTGTTTGCTTTGACATTGTTGCGTTGATGAAACACCATTCCCTCTTGTTGGTTAAAGCTCAGCGCTTCTGGGCGATTGCTTCCTTCATAGGAACTAATTAGGAGTTTGTTCGCAGGTCTGCAGCTTATTGTTGTTGATTTCTTGCCAATCCCCCTAAGCACACCTTCCTGATCGTCAATCTTGGATACCGTTTGCGCTGCTCTTCGACAAGGACCGTTTTCATTTGCCGCTATTGTAAGTGATCCATTTATCATCACCTTCACCACCTACTACAGAGAAGGGTCGATTTTGTTACGATTCAGCAGCGTTTCGCGGATGGAAATAATTTTTGTCTCTCTCGTTAACTCATGTGGTACCCAAACATCAAACTTCTTTGTGTATCCAGACTTTTTCAAGTGGTTCCAAACTTATTTTGTGCTGATTCTAGCTACTAAACAATCAAAACAGTGTTTGACGGTCAGACTCGAAGATTCTTATTGTTTTGTCGACATTTTCGATAATTGGACTTCCACATCGTGGAACATCTTTTACATCAAAAATACCCTAACGAAGTCGGCGGAAAGAGAATTGTGCATGACTGACTGTTACAGTCGCTGCTGACCTGCGTTTTCGCCTGCATCGAAGAAAAATTGTAGAATATGCACATTTTCTCTTTGCCGATGCCCAGCTTTGACATGCGTTCAAACAGTCTGGAGTTAAAAGATTAACACTTCTTCCATTATTCTTTTTTAGAACTGAAGATCATCTTTCCAACGCCATCTTGCGTAATCCAATCGCACTTATTGAAGGCGATGCGGATCGCTGAAGCCATCTCTTACTAAAATAATGGATGACTTGTTACTCGACCTAATATTAAATCGACTTTCCGAGGGAAAAGGGTAATGTTCCAATGTAAAGCTTGCGCATTTAAAGAAAATCGATCGAAATACTATTTTTTCGAAGAGGTCAGTCCCACATCCACTTCAAGGATTTTTCTTGGCCGGAGACCCCTACAGAATCGGTTATAGAACTACGATATATTGTGTTAAAGGCTTAGTAACTAACATCACTCCCTTTTATATATGTACATATATGTATACATAGACACGATATTAATAATACTATAATTAGTTAATGAATATACTCATACTAAAAAATCATTTGAAATCACTTATTTTTTTTTTTTTTTTTTTTTTTTATTATTTTTGCAGAACGACCAAATCACCTCCAAGCATGTATTCTCTCCAAATTCTTCTAACAGCATGAAGCAGCTAAAAGCTATCGATGATGTAATGACATAATTAATAGCAACTCTTGCTAAAAACAAAACAAAAACTAGCAGAAATCAACAAAGTCGACGACCGGCCAAGCGATAGAAGAATAACAGCAAAAATTAATACAAATACTCGTGCATACATACAAACGTCGGCGAGTAGAAAGGTATAAACTCGAAGAGATTTGCGGATAAAATGTCAATGCTGCCATTAACCGGCAGTGCCTCCGGTACACATTTACGTCCACTATCATTGACCGGCCCAGAGCGTGAACCTGTACATTTTACAGTTAATTTAGTTGGTGCACCGCCCGAAGTCGAACAGCTGGTCGAGCAAATCAAACACGTAGCCGAACAGTTTCTCTATCACTGGAAAACCTTTCCAATCGGTGAGTTTTCAGACAATCCATACAATCGTTGGCTTACATACATACATATACTTGTATGTACATACAGATGCGTGCAACTAATTAACAACGCTGGTAGGAAAAATCCAAATTCTTTGATATTTAGACTTTTGAAGAAAACATTTTAACTAAATGCCTTAATGATAAATTGTGAATATTTTTTTATTGTAAATTAGCTAATTTTTTTTATAAGAGAGCTTTTTATAAAATAAAGCCATTCTACGACGACACAGGTCGTGCAACTCATTAAAAACGCTGTCTTTGTTTTTTGAAAAAATCCTTTTATTTCCCTTTTTAAATTAATATTTGGTTGCGAACCCTTTACTGTCAGTTATGGCTTGACATTTACGAGGCATTGACTCCACTAAACTTTTGCAAATGAGCTTTGGATTGCGATTCTGTTCTTGAGTAACTTTTTCAAAAAATCCTAGAAATTTTCAATTTTATGGGAACGAACTGTTTTCGTCAAATGTGTCCATAGATTCTCGATTGCGTTCAAGTTCGGACTGCATAAAAGCCAGTTTAGAGAGACACCATATTATCCTGAAGCCATTGCTTTGTGTTACGCGCAAGATGCTTCGGATCGTTACATTGGCGCGTTGTAACCGCTGAAGCGATTTTCGGCCGATTTTCCAATTTGTAGTTTTGCCTCTTGATGTTTTTCCAACAAATGCAGGAACCTACAGCTTATACTAAGCCACCTTCGAACGGCGGATGGTTTTTTTTATGAGGAGACTTATATCATGTCAGAAATACATTCGGAGGTTTTGGCATTTCCTGCCGAGGGGCGACCGCAATTAGAAAATTTAGCTTTTTGTTTAAATTAACTTTCTATAACTTATGGATGTTGGTCGCACGGGGATTTGAGCCCGAGCCTTCAGAATGGTAGTAATGGTAATATTATGCTGCCCTTGATTGATATGTCCTTAAACTGACCAATGTGCCCATCAATCATGACATGGCACCCCAAATCATTATACAGCCGATATCATGTTTTAAAGTTAGTCAGACTTTGGGTCCAATTTTATGCATCGAGACCTGCGGTCAGGAGTTTTCCCACCTGAAGAAACCCTATTTATCTTAATTTCATCAGAAAACAGTACTCTTTTCCTCTCGTTTGCTGTCTAATAACGGTATTCCTTTGCAGACTATAAGCGTCTTCTTCGATTACGTTCGCAGAGTCATAGCTTCTTCTTTGAACTCTACCAAAGAGTCCAGCCTGATGTAATCGCCTTTCTACGATATCTACAGTTGGTGCATTAGGACTTTCTTCAAAAATCATAACTCGAATTTCATTCGCCGTCTTCTGGGATCCTTTTTTGACTGGCAGATAACCAACTCGTCTTCCAGAAAAGTCGTTTTCCGACCGCTCTTCTCTCTTGGCACTTGTTTTGTTATTTTATTCTTGTTGAAATATTTAACCGCATTAAAAGCGTTTGGAAATATTTTCGGCCTTTGGAATGCCTCCATACCATGTCCGATCCTTGTGCATCTGTACGATAACAGCTTTAGAGTACTCATCACAAGATTTGCTCTTACCCATTTTTTTTACTAAAATTATTTAATTACTTAATAATAATAAATTTTAACAAAAATTCAAAGGAATATTCACCTAAACACAACTAATTTACAAGAAATCTTAAGAAGTTGACACGCGTTGCTAATTATTTGCACGACTTCAAAATAACGGTATTTCTTCCACATTTTTTAACCGCTAAATCTGACTAAACTTTCATAGAAGGGAATAAAAATTTAATTTAATTTAACACTTAAGACTTTTTACGGAAAAGTTGTTAATTAGTTGCACGCAACTGTATGTAGTATATATAATATGTATGTATTTATATGTACGTGTATATGTACATTAATTATACGCCAAAATGAAGACGCTGTTGATACTGTTTCACTTTGCTTTATTACATTACCTATACCTATACGCTGGCTGCCTATGCTGACTGATCTGTTGCCAATGCCTGTCTGTTGTTGATGCTGTTGTTTGCGCCCGCGTAGTACTCCCTCAACCGTTATCTGCAACAACACTTGCGCTAACCGTCAACAATGCAACGAACAGCGTCAGTAACCGCAACAAAACGCGACCGATTAATTTGCGCGACCTATTTATAGCACCGCCCTTTGATGAGTTGGATGCCGTTGCATCGGATGGCAGCGGTGAAGCGCGACGCCTCACCAATTCGCAGCTGAAGTCGTTGCGCGAGACTGGGTGAGTGGCATATGTTATTGATTTTTTTACATCGCCGGTTGTAAGTTTGTTTGGTTGTTGTTTTTGTTTTATTGTTTTTTATGTTACTTTGTTTTTATTTTTTATTTTTTTTTTACGAAATACACAATATTTAATTTCATGTACGTATGTTTTCATTGTTGTTGTTGTGTTGTGAACAACGTTTTTATACTTCTGATTCGTTTTGTTTGCATTCTCTTGATTATTATTGCTAACAATGCGGGTCAATTAATTAATTCATTTTTTTTTATTTATTTATTTATTTATTTATTTATGTGCATCTGTATGTATCTGCTCGCGCTCGACTGCCATAGCAGAGCTATGATAATAAAAATTGAAGAATTTTTTTGTTCATTTCTTATTGTACGTACATAATTGCATTTTATAATTTCAATATTTCGTACAATTTTACGGTTTTTTGAGTATTTTTATTTTTGTAATTTGTTGTTTTATCGATTTAATTTAATATAATTATCAGCAAAATCACTGATTTGCATCGAAATCATCGAGAAGCAGCTCATCATTGCTCAGGCTTGGCTTGCAGAGATTTTCGCAAATAAATTCATTTTTAGATTTTCTGCTTTCAATTTGCATATTATTTCTCTCAATACATTCTTTACACTTTTCACATTTCACACTTTTTCAAAGTTTTACGCGTAATTGCCAAATTAATTTTTTTTTTTTTTCACAAAACACTTGATTTGAATTTCTTTTGGTACTTTAAGCTCAATGCTTTGCTTACAAAAACTGTATATGTATGTATGGGGTTATTCATTTCGTGGTTTCAAAAATACGCAGCTGTATTTTGACATCCATCGGACTTAACTGGCGAGCCAAGCATGTTTTGTTTCGTTGAAAGTCAGGCATTCCTGGAAGTGGCTCGCTGGACAGCCGCACATCGCGTTAAAACCTACCAGAAAATTGGTGATTGAAACGTGGTCACCTTTCGTGCTTTAAGAGACAGATTATGGTGGACATAATAATCGTCCAACTACTCAAGCAATTGGTTAGATTTGAAAGAAATTTGTAGAGACTGGATCGGTTACAGACATTGTAAAGCCAATGCATTGTAGTTTTGCTCGTTCCAACTCAAATATCGCTACTGTGAGTGAAATGTGTACCCGCAGACCCGAATGTGTCTATTTACCGGCGTTCCCAAGAGCTTGGACTTTCTTACGGCACATAATGGCGCAGCTCACTCAACCAATGAAAGCAGCTGATCATTCACAGCGCTATGTATACTTCGATTGGGTGCTCGAGCAGTGGACGGCGCAGTTCGTAGCAAAACTTTCTACAGCAATGAGACACAATTCTCACTCGGGGATACGTAAATAAGCAACATTGTCGCATTTGGGGCTCTGATAATTCGCAAATAATTGAAGAGAGGCCATTATACAAAAAAAAAGAAACTGTCTGGTGCGTTCATTTGTTCAATGGGGTTTTACTTCTTTGAAAGTGACAACGGCGAGACTGTCACTGTCAATTCGGTGCGTTGCGGTCGTGTGCTAACTGACTTTTTTGGCCAGCAATTGCAGAACAAGACTTGGATAATATGTGGTTTCAACAAGATGCTGCCACACGCCACACAACACGTGTGAATATAGTTTTTTTTTGCGAGAGAAACTTCACGGCCGCGTAGACCCTCGTCTTGGTAGGTCGTCGAGTAGATCCCTTTGTACTCTTCTTTCCGTTTGCTACGCGGTAGAACGCGTTTGTGCGGGGAAACATTTAACTCTTAAGCACATCAAAAGAAACATTCGTGAAATTATGGCTGAGATACCGCCCAATATGTGCCAGAAAGTAGCTGACAGTACCTCAAACGACTCGACGTTTGGTAAAGTTCGCGAGGCGGTCATTTGAACGATGTAGTGTTTCACATATGTATGTATGCATGTGTAATGCCAGATTAAAGCTTTGTAATAAAAAGAGATTTCAAGATAAAAATGATTTCAATGCATTTTATTTTCGAAACCGCAAAATGGATAAACCTGTATTCACTGGGGAAAAATTTTTTATTATTTTTATTTTTTTAACTCTTAAATCAATTTCGTTTCATAATAATAATTTTGTCCTTTATTTCCTAAACTCGAACATATTTATTTATATAAACATACCAAAGAAAAAAAAAAAAACCAAAACGAAAAACAACAAAAACCATTTGCAATACTTCTTGTAAATTATTTCTGTAAAGCTTGCAAAAGGATAAATACGGCAAACCGAAGAAATTAACTTTGGAACAATTGGAAACAATACGTAAAAATGGGTAAATACCGTTCATCAAATAAATAAATTTCAAATATTCATACACACACATCCATATTTCAAAAATTAGGCAGCCTTCTTCGCGTGCGCATCAGCCAAATTTTTTATTTACAAATTCGAATTCGTTTTTGTGTTTGTGTTTGTGTTTTGTGTTTAACAATTTGCGTAATAAATATATATGTGCACATATGCGCCCTTTGTATACATGAATTAACATAAAAAAAAATGTGCGTACGCTGGGGTAGATCGATCACAATCCAAATTCGACGGAGCGTGGAAAACTTGTGCCGCTGCATCAAATTAGAGCACAAAAAATCTAAACCCGATCGATTGATTTGATGTCCCAATGTCCACATTGAGCCTGAAGTTTTCAACGTGCCTACAAGCGTAAACTACACTACAGACGTGATTCAGCAAGGTAAATGTTGTAACCAAGCTTCAACAGCAAAGTGATGAGGTTCTTGGTTCTTGTGCGGCAGTCGGAAGAGTTGGAGGAAACAGGCGGGTGCTCCGAATTATTTGGTTTTGTCTTTATCAGAATATTATCCTCGTCAGCTTGATAATTACCATTCGAATGGTATGTATAAGAGGAACAACCAAGCTCGTGTTCACAGTAAAATCGTTGTCAAATCCGACGACACGCGATAAACGGGTGAATATTTCATTCGGTACTAGTACCACGCCGGGCCAGAAAAAGTGCACGAGCTCCTTAAGCCTACCGTTAACACTGCAGCCGCTAGTAGAAAAATGATGCGACAAGTGACTCGCCGTCTGCGCAAACTGCCAAACCCCAACGCGGCGCTTGATTTCCCCAAGCAAGACGTTCGGGAACGTTAACGGGCAGGCAAAATCCTCCACTTGAGTGGGCGACAGTCTTCGATAGAGTTTCAAGGTCAAACTTCCCAGCAATGGTTTCCATAGAGAGGTGACCTCTCTACGCTTCTGTTGAATTTTTTACATATCAAAGCTTCCTTCCTCCTCCAGCGGGTGTTTCATTGATCTCATATGCCAGTGACTGCTCGATAGTGTCGACGCCATGACGTCGACCTATCATATTTCTTCAGTGCACCACATCTACCTCGGCTACGATTTTCACCAGCTGTACGAAGGAGTACCGGCGCGCGCTTGATGTTAAAATCGATTGCATAAAAATTCCGCCAATTACTAACCCACAGTTGCTGGGAGTCACATTCGACAACCTACACTCTGGGGAAACAATGAAGAAACTTTGCTCGCAACATTGATGATGAAGAAGCTAAAAGGATATGAGAACACCGTCGGCAGCAGCCCAACACCATTTACTTCACTCGGATTTACTAAAAGGGATTGCTAGACTATACAGATTCTATTAAGCACCATAGACAAAAACCGCTGGGCCGGCCAACAGGCTTTAAATGCCATTAACCGTCGACAATACCTTCATGCACTCTGTTCTAGTGAAAGACGTTCTCGAGATCTAAGCAATAGCTAGTGCAGAGTCGATTAATACTGGCACAATTAAGATCTGGATATTGTAATCGACTTAATTCCATCTATCCATGTCCTGCATGCATTGACACATCCCGCGTAAAATCTACTTGCACCAACTAGCTTCCTGAATCACCTGTAGGGTGATCTTTATGACTTGAACTAGTCTCGCCTGCTCCTTATTGTCGACTGCATTCGGTTTTGAGTCTTGAAAAATAATTTTTTCAATTTGTGGTCGCCTCTCCGAGTGCATTTCTGGCATGAAATAAATCCATCGGAGGCGGCTTGGAGTAAACAAATTGGAGGAGGAGCTCAGCCGATAATCGTTTGAACGGCTTTAATGCAGCAAATATCAGTGTTTTTTTTTCTATTTCTTTATGATTCAAGTGTATTTATTGTGGATTTAGGTTTACACATGTATATATATATTAGGTCAAGTAAAAAGTTCGTCGGGTTTTTATTTAAGAGATGACGTTATTGTCCATAGTAGTGGTGTTACGTGTCGCATCCTGTAATACTATACGGCGCTAAAAACGACCGCTTGAAGGCAGCACTCTTCCAGAAGAGGACATTTTTGATCAATAGAGACCGAATAATGTTCCATCAGGACAACGCCAGGCCACACGCACCAGAAACTTCAGGAGCTCGGAAGGGAGGTCCTAATGCACCCACCTTATAGTCTGGCTCTGGCACCAAGTGATTATTGAGGAAGTTGGCCTCAAGAGAGGCCTGTGAAAATTGGTTCTCCGAGTTTTTTGCCAATAGGGACGCAGCCTTCTAGGAGAGGGGTATAATGAAGTTGGCATCTCGTTGACTTAAATTGGACAAAAGTACACAAAGTTATCATATTTTGAAAAAATCAATAAAAAACCGAACGAACTTCTTACTTGACCATATATATGTGTAAGAAACGGTTGTGGGCTAGGAAGAATGCATGTAAAAAGCTTCATATTTTCCAAAGTTTATATGCCTTTAAATAGTTATTATTTACACGTATATACGTACATATATGAAGTTATTAATAGAGAATCGGAAGTATGTCTATATGCACAAATATACAGTTAAGTAAGTGTATTACATATAAAAAACATATATTTTACAACTATTTCAATGGTAATCTGCTCGAATGCCTTTCTTAAAATGTCTAAACTAAAACCTCCCTCAAAGCCTCGGTTTAGCTCTCATTAAAAGCAGCAAATTTAATATCTTAGTACCAAAAAGCGCGCTTCCCGACACCAGCACTACCCATCAGTTTAGCTCCTCAGCTCATCAGCTCATCATATTCACTCACCCACTTGCTGATTTCTCCCAATGCTGCCCCTTACGCATTTGCGGCACGCATCTCTTTAAAAATGCATAAAAATAGAAAAGTATATAAATAAATAAATAAATAAATAAGTAAGGTAGCAATAAAACAGTACCGCAATTTCCTCTTTATGTTTCGTTTTGCATATTACCAAGAGCTGCTTGAGTCACCACAAAAGCATTTACCCAACATTTGTATGCATTCGCTTGGCAGCTGTTTAGTGCTTTCGCATGTCACCTCACATTCCATTAAAGAAGCGCGCCCGCCGTCCATGCATCGGGCGGCGCTTCCCCAGAAATGATTTATTTTATTGATTTTCACATACATACATACGTAATGCTCCATACTTTCGTTTTTTCTTCCATTCTTGTGCTTTTTTGAAATTTATGTGTTCTTTTTTCATTTTTTGCTGCAGTGAATTCGACGTGCCCAGTCTACATTTCCCCGGTCAGGTGCACAAGTGGCGACTATCTCAGTTGCTGCAGAAGGGCACACTGCGTGCGCACGACTCTTTCCTTAGCGATTTGGCTTTGGCAGCGCGTTTTATTGTTGTAACCGCGCGTGCGCGCATTTTCGGTCACTTCTTTTCTGTGGTTCATGCTGCGCAAGCGCTACTGGACGGCATCATTAAGTTGGTCGATATGTTCATAGGTATGTTGAGATTACTATACAATTTATGGTTGTGTGTATGTATATACATATATGGACTTTTTCTTTGCTCACAGGCGTACCGGCATTGCTCGCCCACAACCTGGATTATAAAATAAAAGAGGAGCGCTGTCGTTTTCTAATTGCCGAACTGGTGTGCCGTGTAAGTGTGCTGGTAATTTGTATAAATCCTTTGTTTTCTTGTTATTTATTCACATTTCAGCCCGAGTTTGAGGACTGCCTGGATGGCCTGTGTTCGTATGTGCGCAAAATGTTGCGTCGCGCAACAATGGAAAAGTTCGATTTCAATAGCTGTGAGGTGACACAACCCGTGCCATATCTTTTTCTCACGCCGAAGGGACAAGAGATCGATTTGCGTCTGTTCTGTCGAGATGTCATGCGGAAAGCGTTGCCCATACTTATCGGCATATTGGAGCGCGAGACACGCGGTTGGTTTCTGCACTTTCGCGAGCGTCTAATTGCCGAGTTACGCGCTAAAAAGCTCAGCGACAAGGAAATCGAGGAGGTTGGTATCTTGATTGGTTAATAGATGAAACGTACTACGTCATGTTATTGCATTTTGCAGGAAGTAAATGAGGCTGTTATGAAAGAATACCTACAACGTGTGTACTCCTCCATACTATCGAATCCCAAATTAGCCGAGTTGGGCAATGGCATTCCCGAACTACTGGTTCAACAAGCCCAATCGGTTGTGTTTATGTACAAGGCGGTGGACAAAGTGCAAAAGGATATTAAACGCACACGCGAAGATCATCAAAAATGTCTTGCCAATGATCATTCGGTGTTGTCGCGTGTAGCGCCTTGGCTGCGCTCGAAATTGCGTACCGCCGAGGAGAGCAAACTGAGCAAGTCGGCCTGGTCGGCGCATGAGGAGGCGCTGAAAATGTGCACCAAACACAATTTACATCAAACTGCCTATTTCTTAAGTCGCGATCTGGCATTCATGAAGGAGCGTGAACCGGTTTTACTAAAGGAGCTGAAGAATGCAAAAACGCCGACGCGCAGCTTTCAATGGGCTTGTCGCATTTGGTCACCTAGCGCTTGGATAATACGACGCAATTTCCAGGGTCAATCGGATGTGATACCAACGGTGATCAGCCAACAGGCCACCTCGATTGTAACGCCGCGCTCTGATCCCAGCCAACCAGTTTTCTTGGTGGAGAAGGAGATTATACGCACAACCAGTACACGCTGGCCTCTGTGGCGTTTGTTGAATTTGCTGCAACGCACTTGGTGTTGGACTTGGAATATGATGTTCTTGCTTGGCATACTGGTCCCTTGGTGTAGTCCGCTGGGCCTACGCGCACTATTCTGCGTGAAGCCGTTCATGCCGGACCTGGAGCTGTCACAAATCAATGGCACTCTCTTTCCGCGCAAGACCAGCATCACGCAGACGATGGCCTCACGTTTGATCGAACTCTGGCGACACATATCAAAATCTCGTACACACTTCGAAACCGAACCGGATACAGGTGAGTTTACGCACATTCGGCTTTATTGAATTTCTAAGAAAATTAATTTTAAACTCTTTCACAGGCTTCATAGGCAAAGGATTGACGCGAAATTTGAATCGCGTTTGGAATTACTTCATTAAAGGCTTTCTCGGCACGATCGTCATACTCTTTGCCTTTCCATTCATCTGTTTGATTACCAGTTTTCTCAGTATTGCATTGGCGATAACTGCGCCATTTTGGATTCCTATTTTTACTGTGCTTTTGCATCTCTATATGATTCTCATTTACGATTTAGATTGTCCGGATAATACGCGAAATCGTTATTGTATACTCTTGGAGGCTGTTTTTGGGAATATTTTAATACAAGGTCTTATACAACCGGTAGCGGCCGTTTTGGTCGCCACATTCTGTTGTCCCTTGGCATCAAGCATTATTTTAGTTGGTGAGTGAGCTACAGTGATTTTTACATAATTTTCATACCTTGTGGTGTAAATCCAACAGATTTAGACACTTCCGACTTAAGCATAGACATAGAGTTATAAATTAATATGGTCAAATTGTCATGTCATTGGTTTGGTGGGGTAAAAGTGCAGCCAAGCTTCCAAATTTTATCAAAATATGGATGATAAAACCCAAATAGTGGACAATTTCTTGATATCGTCTCAAAATCACTCTACTGTCCCTCTATAATAGACGAATCCCATTGCTTCATTTTCAGTTTCATTCCGATTTATTTTGTTTTTTTTTTAACTATTTTCTATATGGTTTATTTAGTTGGAATTGTCCGGTATTCCCTGCGGTTACTCTGGGATTCTTTAACTTTCCACTTGTTCATTAAAAAATGTGGACGGATTCCCGCATCCGATAGTATTGCTGTGAGACGTATAGCTGGCCCCGGTCTGGCGCTCGATTACTATTTTATAATAAAACCTGAGCAGGCATTGGCAGCATTTGAGGCCAAAATGGAATTGGATGAACTTCAGGCATATCAACACGCTACGGAGCGCATCATACTGCAGCCGCAAAAAGATTTCAGTCAATTCGTCGAAGCTTGTTTTGGTCCATTCTCAGCACAGCTGGCAAAGAACGGACCCTACATGACACTGGATCGTGAGGCGCATGATTTGATGAGCACACTGCATGAGAAACTGGAAAAACGGCGACGAGAACTGCAAACCTCGCTGACGACACAGGTGAAGACACGCATCAAATTGAATACGAAAGAGTTAAAGGTAAGTGCACACTGAAGATCAGATTTATATAGAGAGTAAACTATGTAATTTATTAATTTCAATTGCAGATCGCTATACAATTGGCCGCCCATATTTTAGAAAAATGTTATCCGTCACATGTTATCGCAAGGCTTTCCATTAGCGAGGATGACTTTTGGGATAATAAGGTAATAACTAACATACCGACCACTTTGTGCGCATTCGCGATCTCATTTTCATTCTGTTACATCTTTAGGGTCTCAGCGTCAACGATTGGCCTGGCCTTGCCGGTCTTATATATACTGAAATATTTAGCTTAGATTTTCTAACGCCATTGACTGAAAACGATACACATTTTAAACTAGAACCACATCCCTCGCTCGACTTGACACGTTACACAGAAATGGTACAAAACGCTACCGATGTGATAGGTTCCAAAGGTCTGGATTTACTGGGTAACGTGTATGCGCCGCGCGGCAATGTGCAAGTGCATTTGCCATTCCTTGAAGTGACGGCGTTCAATCCACGTTCAAGAATTACGTTGACTTTTAGGAAGCCGGAGAAGAGGTGGATATGAATTAAAATCATTTTCAGAATTCGAATTAACTGTTATGTATTTACCGTTCACAGAGACATGTCCGTCGGCCTGACAACTCCACGTGTCCGAGCACATCGTTCGCAGCACACAAAAGTTTCGGAGCCGTTAAAGCCTTGGCGTCCGTGGAAAAAGAAATCTGATGAGAAGAGTGTCACGGAAAAATTGCTTATACCGTTACCTGTGCCTCATCCAGTACATATTGCCATTGCCATACACAATCGTGACACCGAAAATCCCATACCACTCGACTCGGAACTCGTTTGGGAAATTCTCAAATCGATTGAGGATTGTCAAGGCGGTGACGTAATGGTGAGTTATTATGAAACTCTATTTACATATACAAGAAGATATATGTTGTTATTGTTTGTTTAACGTGTTTACTTCAGGCTGTGCAATCAGTTGCGCGTTATCGTGGCGCTGTAACGGAATCTAGTAATGACTCACTGGCCACTAGTAGTAGTATTGGCAGCACACGTGATTCTGGCTCAGGCTCAGGCATCGTAGGCAACGGCACCGAAACTTTGCCCTGCGTCAACCGTGAGGTGAGTCCATTATTACAACGCTTAAATTAATATTCATCACAATATGTTCATTATCAACTCTTCAGGTTTGCACGCAAGTCAAAGTCTCCGAAGAGCCAGTGCAATCATCCAGCTTCCACTGGACTCTTAGTAATTGGGGTGCAGCGCAAACAGCGCGTCGACGCACCAACTCCAATGTGCGCGTAGACTTGGCTAGCCCCGAAGATATTTCACTGGACACAGACAGCTCGCGCGCCGTCTTCAATCCATATGGTACAACGGTTTAATGTGGCCGATAAATAGTAGTAGTAGACGCCTGAGTTGAAGCAGCTAAAAAAAGAAGTAATAACGGTTTTAATTTACATACAAATTGGAAAGTGCAACATATGAATGTACAATATTATTAGTTTGAAAATGTTAAACAAAACAGCGGAACAGTTGATGTTGCAAAAGCAGCGCAGAGTTGGTCCAACAACGATTGCTCGAAGAAAATTAAAAACAAAAACGTATTTATGAACGTATGCATAATTCTAAAGCATTCACACATACTTACATACATACATATATACGCATTTGTGCGCATACATTTCATGTGCATGCTGTCATACATATATACTTAATATAGATTATAACATGCATATATGTAGTGACATGAAGCAGAATTCATAGTAGTTATATATACATACATACATACATAATTATACAGTCATATATATTTGTATAACTGACATATACGAGTACATACATACATTCATTATAGAATTAAAAATATGCATATATACATATACACATACCCATTTAGCAGAAATATATGGCTGTATGTACATTTAAGGCATCTAGTCGTGCGAACAAAACGAAAATATTAAGGAAAAAACACTACAAATTCGTTGGCTTATAGTCACTTTTTATTTCTATTCTTTTAGGTTATTTGGGAATTTTCTATATATTAGTGTGAATATGATTTATTAATTTATATATCATATATATATATTTATTTCTTACTCTAATGGAATTTTTTTGCTTTAAAACGATATTTGTACCAGCTATAGTTATTTAGTATTTTTACTCGAATTAAACTCGAATATCACACAGAAATTATTTTTTATATTTTTTTACTTGTTTATGAAGATTTTCTTTATTTGTTTACAAAACGTTTAAAAAATTATCTACCATTTTCAAAGTCGTGTTAACAGTTATTATGCAATGACGTTAGAACTTTAATTATTGATAATTACTTAGTACATAAATACTATTTACACTTTATCATCAATTTTTTTTAACAAACGCAATTGCCTTATTTTATAAATCGTTTATTGAATTGCTGCAAAACAAGTTTTATATAGAGAGTAAATTGTGATCGATTTCGGATTTTCATTTAATTCGTAACAGAAAAGCTTGTCCTTTATTCAGTTTTCGCCTTCAAATCATTTTCGCAAGCGCATACTTACGATCTTTAGATCTTCTCTATGCAAAAGCTTCCATAGAGGGTTATATCAAACAAACCATACAAATTGTATTAATTTTTTCGATAAAATGTAATAAAATACAAAGATATGTATATGTGTATAACAGTAATAGTAAAATAAACTTGAAAATGATTCTATTATCTAGCCGTAGTCGAAACGCCCTTATAAGAACGCAACCAAAAAATTGAATGAGATTTAAATTTTAAGTAGTAATACAACTAACAAATTAATGTTAATTCTATTATATAAATAATTTATCAATACGAATTCTATGTACGAATATACACATAAATACATACATAAATGAAATTTGAAAATAAATAAAAAAATTATAAATAAAATTTATAAATATTATGAAAGTCAAATGATGATGATCAATAGAAATTATAAATAATGTGACATTTACAATTTATATACAAGCGAAACATAGTTATACAAATATTATAAATAACAAAAAAATTAATACATATTTACAAAATAACTACTAAACCCCTCCCCTTCCCGCCTGTTCCCTTCGCAATTAGATCATAGGTATGCTCCCCTTAGGCATTCGACCCGCCTCCTTGTTAACTATTGTAGTTTCGTACTTTCCAGTATTTATAAAATCAACACAGCTTCATACCAACTGAATATGTATAATGGCTATGCCGCAAATAAAATTGATTGTATGAATTTTAATTAAACGCAGCTACATATGTGAAATAAGATTTAAGTAAAATTTTTGCAATTGAAATTTATAAAGAATACATATATGCTAATTAAATTTATATACAATAATATATGTATATGTATGTCTGTTGTTAGATACCAAAAGCAAAAACAATGATATAAATAGACGTGAGCATATTTAATCGTTAGTTGAATATGGTATTATGAATGAATTAATATATTTGTGGAAACGAAATAATGCAATCACACATATTCATACAAAATCGCCAGACAGAAGTGTAAAACATCAAATTTGTTTCAATTCACTCCGCCAAAAAAGGTGGAATAGTTAAAAAGCGCACCGCTCATGCTTGGCTATGCTAATCAAACTGAGTATTCACTACTTTCATTCAATTATTTGCAATCTCATTTGCAATTATCAGCTCTCTAATACAAGTAAGAGCATTCATGTATTCATATGTACAAGTATTTGTTTTGTTGATATAAACTTAAAAAACTTTGCCATATTTGAATCTCATTCATATTTAAATATTTTTAATTTTCACCAAAAGATTTTTTCCATTGCGAATTTGTATTTAATCGTTTAAAATTATGAGTCATTTAAAACGATTTTAACTTCTCAAGTATTACCTGAGTACAATGCCGTCAAAACGTATTGAAATATACACACACACACACATATATACACCTCAACCTTGTTACTAATTTTTGTTTACAAAGAAAAAAGAACACCAGTGGTAATTTAATTATTGTATATTTTTTTTAAACGGTAAATATATTTACTTTTATTCTATCTAATGTACATTAAATGTACATTTCACACACACATACACACACAACAAATTAAAACAATATAAACATATTAAATATATTTAATTAAAAATAAATCTATATTTAAGTGCAGAGTGATGAAGTATATAATATTGCTGCAAGATGAATAAAAAATTTAATTATGATAAAGAAATATTTGCATTAATGATAACAGCGGCTGATTCAGTTGTGAAAACTATTTCTAATAAATTGTAGTGTTATGAGTATAATGTTGCAAGCAAAAATGAAGGAAACTGAGTTTTATTGCGGCTGAAGATTTTATGATGAAGTTTAGACGTTTGAACACCTTTCTGCTCCATCTAAGCTTTAGCGCACGCAAAAAAAGGATTTTTATGAACAGTGTGATTGAAGGCTTCATGCGCAAGTTTTGATAGAAACCACCTTTTGTACAAGTTGTTTTAGAACTTTTCAATTTCCATGGCATTCTAAATTAGCCTAGTCATTCAACAGCTAGAGGCCGACAACAATTTTCGTACTAACTTAACTCCATTGAAAACTCTGCCTCAATAATTAATGGTGATCATTAGCACGAAAAAAGTCTTTTAACCAAAAACTCGATTTTACCATGGAGAATGTTGAGAAAAGTATAAGAAAATCCCATTCGAAGATTGCTGAAGTGCAACGTTATCCATGAACCTCAGTTAAATTGTTTTTTCAATTGAATTTAAAAAAAAGCTCCGGTTGTCCAGAAACACTTTAGACGGCTATAGGGTGTTACAGAAGCAAGAAATTAACTTTTTTTAAATCAAACAACCAATAAAAACATCAATAATGTTCGAAGACATAGTTTGCGGCTTACGGGCAAAATAACGTAAGGCAAGCATATAGAAATGAAGAATGACGTAGAGAAGTGGCAAGAGCGATACGAACACACGCTTACACATTTGGCGCTTATATGACCGCAATCTGTCAAAAAAGTCTGAGGAGAGGGAATTGTTAATTTACAGCGGCATCCTTAGACTTTCTGCATCATGACTCGTATTAGCTACTTTTTATTATTAAAGCGTAAAAGTAGAATTTGGTTTTTCATACAAGCAAAAAATATTATTGTGCGTCGGCCGGGAATCGAACCCGGATCAACTGCTTGGAAGGCAACTATGCTAACCATTACACCACCGACGCACGTGCCATTTATCTACTCTAGTGTATATTTAAACATTGTGAGCACTCTGTGTGCTAGTAGAACACTCCATTGCAGAGTGTTTCATAATACTAAAAATCTACTATTCATGAGAAACATTCACCAGCTGTGAAACTCGACATTTCATATTGTTACGATTCTACTAAATCAACCTCGATTATTTTCTAGATCCTTCGGGTACGATCTCTGGATTGTTAAATAAAAACTCGCCAACTTAATTTGCAGTTTCTTTCGTAATAAAGATTTTATCTAATGTCCTTTATTTACTCCGTAATACACAATTCAATTACACGGCACTTTACTAGCTACAATCACTTGCATAAACTTTCACCATTTACTCTACTTAAATGTAATTCCCAATGCGTTCACTTAACTGATGTTAACGCCAACGAGCTCACTTTGTAACTAACTTAACTTGGCAGCTGAGTGTCCCCTTATATAGCAGTCGGCTGCTCGCAGACGAGAGCGTAGAAGCATCGAATTGCTCGCTATGGAAGGTTCTTGTTTTATCGTTTCTAGAATGTACTAGTTATCGGCTTCTCTCTTTCATCTGACATTCGCCTCGCATTTTCGCAACAATATATACCTGAGCATGTGGTTTTGAATAATGGAATGTGTTAAAAATCGTTCACAGTTTTTAAATCTCAATACTAAATTTTATTTACTCTGTATCACTCTATACTGATGACCGCAATGCGCAACTGAAATAGACTCTTTGACATTTATTAATTACGTGCGTCGGTGGTGTAATGGTTAGCATAGTTGCCTTCCAAGCAGTTGATCCGGGTTCGATTCCCGGCCGACGCACAATAATTTTTTTATTTTTAAAATTGTGTTTATGCATTTTCAGTAATGGATCCCTAATGAACAATATGACCAATATGAAGGCACCAAATTCAACAGCGAATTTACTGCTTTATTGCAAAAGTTAATATACACAAAGGTAACGGAAATTATTTATAAACAATGAATGATCAAAATGCATGTAACAGATTTATGCTGCGCGCTTTATAACCAACCAGCACCACCAGCAGCCGCACCCTTGCCACCGCTGCCAGACCAAGGGCCCACAGCCTCTGCATTGGGTACATGATTGGTACCAGCGGTTATTGGACTGAATGCGACATCCTTGGTCAAGGTGAGATGATGTGCGGCGCCAGCATTGCCATTCCTTGTATACTGGCCCAGTTTGGATGCCTCATATTCGGTTTTTTGTATCTCAGCTGCAGCGGCATGTGCGGAGCGTTGTAGAGCAGCCGCCGCCTCAGCTTCGCGTGCTGCTGCAATACGTTGCTGATGTGCAACGGCCGATTTTGAAGCGGCCAAACGCTGTTGAGCCAGTACAACTGTTTGTGCAGCAGCTGCGGCTTCGGAGCGCTGAATGGCAGCAGCGGCCTCCGATTTTTGTGTAAGTATAGCTGCTGCTGTCTCTTTCTCCATGGCCAGACGCTGTTGATTGAGTACATTTTCTTTAGCTGCTTGCATTTGTTGTTGTGCAATTAGTACATTGGCCGATGCTTGCTTCGCGGATGCAATGGCATTGGCCACCTCGCTGGGTGAGGGTGCAGAGTTATGACGTGTTGCGCTAGAAAGTTCAAAGAAGAAAGTATTCAAATGAAAATAAAACATAAATTGGTCGTGTTTGAAATTGTCATTGGTTTACAAGCTGTTCCATGGATTCCAACTGCTTACTGCCAGAGCACCAAAGCCGCCACCAAAGTGTCCGCCACTACCACTGCTCAACCATGGATTGGCACTGATAGCCACGGTGTGTCCTGCATCGCCATCGAAACCACTCAGGCTGCGTCTAGCCAAGGACTTCTCTGGAGTGAGCGCCTTTTGGTCAACGTTCATTTCGATGGCGCTAATAATTGTGGTAGCAATTGCAGCCAATAGAAACACAAAGTTGAACTAAAGCAGAAGTTTATTACAACAAATATTGTAGTTGAATCAACAAATTCATTTTACAAACCATATTCTTGGTGCACATTTTTGAACGTGTACAGCGCGTTGTGAAGTTTTCAAACTATGAATATTTCGATTGCAAGTGTAAGACACGAACTGATGCATTTTGGAAGCGCTAAGCCCTTTTTATACCAAATTTTGTTTGCTTTGACCATCTGAACATAGGCCGACTGTAATTTCAACTTTTCTTGTGCTCATTTAGTCTCCAATAGCTGCCATAAGACGCGCGACTACCGTAAAGATGTCCAACTCGAAGGGATGCCGGCAAACGGTCACGTAGAACAATTTAATTGTGCACCTTTCGCTCTCCAATAAACAACCCATCAGCCGTCCTCCTTGTTATCCGCTTGGCCGGTGTTTCACTTCATTTGAGTTAAAACTTTCGAATTATTATAAAATAAATTATGTATATTAAATAACCAAATTAACAGGAAATAAAAAGCTTTGAACAGCCGCAACAAGCTGCATATCAACCGGTTAACTTAGATTTTCCTTGTTGACGACCTCGACGACCTAGTTTGTCAGGAATTTCAATGAATTGTTAAGTGTTGGCTACGGATGGCATGATTTGGTAATTTATTGTGATGGCTTAACCCAATAACGGAACTGCATACATACATACAAACTCGTGTATTGCAACGTACTTGGCCCACTCTCTAGTTTGCAATCAGTATCCGTATTGCATAACTGGTTGAACGGGTAAAAATGAATTGGAGTTCAACAGGTGAATACTGTTTTAGTAGTATTTGTCTTCAAGAAAGACTTGTTTTATCCCGACTTTCAATATTCTTCCTTGTACAAACTCATTTACAATATACGAGGTGGCGTTATAATATTTGCGGAATGGGGAAATTTTCGAATCATTTAATTAAGAAGATAAAAAATCTTCAAAATATGCCGAAACTGCCTTCTCGACTGCATCATCGGTGATAAATTTTTTATCCCTCGACTCTTTTTTTCATTTTTGGAGCCGGCAATAATCACTTGGGCCCAAGCCCGGGCAATAAGGTGGGGGATGGAAAATATCGAAGGGCAGCAACGCGGCTCTTGTAGATGGACGTGTTTTCGTGGAAAAGCAGCACTCTTTTCATCAATTTTCCCCGTCTATTCTCTTTAATGGATTCTTGTAGTCGCTTTAATAATGAATCGTAGTATTCTCCAGTGCCCTCATGGTTATAGTCGATCAATAATATTCCTTCCGAGTCCCAAAAGAGCGTTGCCATGAGTTTCCCAGCTGACTGTGAGGCCTCAAACTTCTTGGGAGATGAACCCACGTTTAGTCTTCAGTAACAACTCGACTATTCCTGACAGAATTACAAAAAAGCACTATAGCGTTGCTCTTTAGCGCTTTGACAGCGCAGGATTTTGAAAATGGTTGTATCGGATACTCCAACCATCACTTCAAGTTGCTCCTTCATCAGTCGAGCATCGTCGGGGGCAAATTTTTTCAACTTTAATGATAAGTTTAGGAGAGGTTTGCTTGTCACTCCTACCTGGATCCCTCGTATAAATAAATGTGGGAAAGTTCAGACTCTACTATTGTAATTCTATTCACAAGTTTTCCGAAGCCTTTTCTAGTTATGAACTTAGGCTAAATCACAAGAATAGTTCGATGACACCGCAATGCATCTTAGTTTTATCTACCATAGCCTTTATTTAGAAATTTCCGTTCCTAGTAACGAAGTTTGTAAAGATATTTGCCAGATCCAAGTCCAAATAATTTTCCACTTACTCAATTTATGAATAGGCGGCATTAGATCCTGGCTTAAGCTCTATTGGTTTATTGATAACAGTCCTTTAAATCTCAAATCTTCTTCTTACCCTTGCGATTTTTGTGATCGAGCCAAGTGTGGAAACAATCCAATATCAGGATTCCATCCAAATGAAGGTCCATCGTTGTGTTAATTGTCTCTTACGGTTGTACGCTGCTAGTCATTCATTTGGCTTTTTATTGTTCGTAGCGAATTCGAGACTAACGGCGATCCTAATACAATTGGAATACTACAAAAACCCTGTAAGCCTCGGAATAGAATTTATTAGATATGGTATTGAGTGATCAGATAGGTCCTTCAGATTTCAGCTGAAACTGCTGGTGCAGGAGATACCAAAATAAGTTAAAGTGCGCAGCGTTAAGTGCAGATAGCGTTGTCGTATATCTGATCGTGTAAAGGATTGTACCTTTTATATTTAGCTCTAAAGCTCTTATTATTTTTTCCAACATCAAATTGAAGAAATCTGATGATGAGAAGTCTGAAAACTCGTTTGATACCGCACAGCTCGCAGAGGGTTTTCTGGTATTATCCAGTGTTAGTTTATATAATGACATAAGTTTTGTAGGTTTACTAAATTTGGACTTAGCGAAGTAGCCTTAAAGCCGACCCAGAGGTGATACCTGTTCCAAGGTAAGGTAGAAACAGTTTGCTGCACATGGGCCTTAGTCTTTCACCAAATACGCTTAATAGGACCTTACCTTCGGTTTCTGTCCCTTTGTTGTTATTCAGGCGGGCGTTTGTTCTTCTGCTCCAACGTCATCGTTTGCTGATTCGCCGTCTTTTGGTGTTTTATATTTCAGTACCGTTCAGCAGACTACAGAACCGTTCTGGACATCAGTCACTAGAACACATTTTCTGAGTCGTTGGAAAGAAATTTCGGCGATTTTTTTGTTAATTAACATTTATTTCTAAAATGCAGTACAATAAATTTTATATGGTAGTACGGCAAATATCAGCGTACCAGCACTACTTTTAACCTTTCCGAAAACCAAAAGTCTCATAACCAACTGATGAGAGCCCTCAATGCAAGTCGAGTAGAAAAGCGTTCGACTGTATTTAGTGACTGCAGCTTTTCTATGACGAACATTGCTGGTATTCAATGGCGGGCGTTTTTTTGCTGCACCGATGCGGATGTGTATCTTTGCTGCTTCTATTTACAAAGTGGTCCGAATCGAGGTTAGGTCCTCGGAGTGTACACACATCTAGAACACAGGAGACATGTCGTCCATCTATGGTTGCGAGTTTTTAGATTCGGAATTTAGTATTGCAGACAACGGACCGGGCGAAGTCGATCAGCCGATCAGCCTCGACCCATTTGGTGATGCTTCGTCGTAAAAGCTGAATTTTTAGGCAGTTGTGTCGAAGATATTTGCTATGCCCATCCGAGGGTTAAGGTCGCCAAGCACAGCAGAATCCATGCCAACAGAAGAGGAACTATTTTACTATATAGTTGAGCAAGCGGGATAAGGATGCGAAGATAAGATAGCAGCACCTAAAATTTTTACGAAACAAACATCAAATCTCATTGCCTTGCTTTCCTCAATGAAATTAGCTTATTGAATTCTTCTATTGACGTCTACTTACTTCCTCCTTGGTCCGCTAATTAATTATAACTATTAAAGCAATCAATAACATTTCTTTTCTTTGACTAAAGTTTTATTAAACTTTCTATAGAATTTCATAATTGCATAATAGAATTAATATATATGTAAGTATATACTTGTTTTTTGTTTGTATGCTTAATATATTATTATTGAAATTTATTAAATATTAAATATTTATTTAAGTATGTTTGTAATTTAATCAATACATTTAATATTAATTGAGCTAAAAATTAGTCTCTATAAGTTTACAGTAAACTACAGTTCTACACTAATTTTAAAGTACTTTGAAAATTGTCAAAAAACTATAAAATTTGCAGTTAAAGATGTTCTTATGTAAAATAATAAAAGAGTAGAAACCACAGAAGTAAGTTACAAAATTTGTATACTTTGAGTAGTAAAGACTTGGGAAGGACACATAGTGTGATTATTGGAAAATTTGTTAATACAAATAAATGGGAAAGATCACATTTTAGTAGAGAGAGTTTACTTTCACAATAGTTGAGATGTTCAAAAAGTTGAGATACAATTGTATACGTAGTAAATATATATTATATTTGTTGGCATAGTATATGTATATAGTATGTTTGTAAGAATTGTACACTTTGAATGTTTGCATGTATATTTGTATGTAGTTTGAATGCACATTGTTATGTAAGGAAGTGCGTTAGCGCACATACTTCGTACATAAAAATTAAATATAAAAAAAAAAACAACAATTATCACAAATGTAACTGCAAAGTGTATGAGAATGATGAAATAATGTTAGAGATAGCTTCGAGACAACAGCAGAGCAGGTAAGAGCACGCAAAACTAAAAAAATATGAAATTACACCAATTAATGCACAACGAACTACGAGACCTCTGAAAACGACATGTAATCTAATAAAATAAGTTAAATTTAGTTTAAACCTAAATTTTGTATTCGTTCGTCACACTTCTAAGTGCTAGGGCGTTTCGAGTAGGAAATTGTGCAGATTTCAATGTTCACTACAAAATATAATTGAGAATCAATTACAATTCAACGTACTACTATTTCACACACCATTACAAATATTACAAGTTTTAAGTTTTCAAACATTTGTTCGTTTTCGAGTGAGCAAGTAAATTTATGTTCCATCAATATTGCAATTATAGCATTATATGCAGATTTTTTCTTCTAATTATTATATTAATATTAAATATGCACAATTTTTGATTGCTTCTCTTATACTTAATTATAATAACTACACCCAACTTACTGCATGAAAATGCTAATCAAATTGAAATCAAAATCAAAATCCAAAGGAAACCATTTGAAATGCCACAATTCCTTATTTTGTTAATTGTCTACGGCGCTCGTACACTGCCGCGGACAGCATCCATTTAGGACATACTATTCGCATCGCGCAACTGGTAGCATGCCAGCAGATTACTTGGCGCTGTATTGAGCAGTCCTAGGCGTTGCTTTTGCTTACGCTGTTCCGTCATGTGATCCTTGAGCTCGTGCAGTTGCTGCGATAAGCTTGTGATGAGCAGTTGTGTCTCCAGAAGTTGCGCTTGCATGCTACGCAGTTCAATTTGCTCGCCATCCGCATCAATGGCGGCTAGTGACATGGCGCGCAGGCGTGGGAACCAGTCTAATATGCCTGCTTTCACCATTGCGTATACGTAGCTTTCCGGTCCAGTAAACTCTGTTGGATCTTTCACCTTGACTAACACTATGAAGTACAGATAATGCCACATATTGTGTTCGCTTTTGATGTGCTCCTCAAAGCTAACGGTTTTGTTGTCGAATGCCGAACGATTCAGGCCGCAAATGAAGCAGGTGTTCTTGAGGATGAGCTCCTTTTGCTGCTTCTCACTTCTCAAATCGGCAAAAGTATCGATGATGACACCGAAAATTAAATTGAGTACAATAATGATGACAATGAAGAAGAAGAGCAAATCGTAAATAACACGTGCGGCGAAGAGACTTTCCTGTGGGTGTGAAAAAAAAGAAAATATATTTGTTTGTTAGAACTCAAAATATTGAAAAAGATAGACATGAAATAAAATAAACGAAATATATTGATTTGGTTGTTGTTTTTGTTGAAGCAGTTGCTCTAACCCCTTAGAGCAGGCTAGTTTAGTCTAATTGTCCGGAAGATCCAGGGCCAGGTCATCTAACGGCAGTTTCGACGGGTCCAAACCGACCAGAAGGAGAGCGGGGTTAGATGCGCACATGCAGGACATACGTTGCGTATGTTGGGGCCGAGTCCGGATAAGTAGGAGTTTAATCTGCTACAACATTCACACCTAAGTTGCCTCAGTTTTACGCGGCTCTCTGGAGGCAGCTTGAGCTCTTTGTCTTCTAAAGGGGGTGATTGAACTCCGAGTACACCTTTCACAGGGAGAGAGTCTTTGAAGGTGTCAACTGACGGCTAGTGACTGACGCTCAGTGCCTGTTTATATGCCGTCCTGTTCAGCGGTTGTTGTACGTGTTACTGGATAGTGTCCTTTAAGTCGAATACTACCTTTCTGATGTGTTTGGGTGGAGGTTCAAAATCTACCAGATACCCCTTAACTCGTAGCATAGACGCTTCACTGTGCAAGTAATGCTCAGGAGACATCAGAAGGTTTCCTGTCGCGGTCCTAAGAGCGGTGTTTTGGCAAGCCTGTAGAAGAAGCCTTCAACTATGTTTTGTTCGTCCACGGTGCCCAGATCGGGGCAGCACAGTTAACGACCGACCGACCTATTGCTTTGTAGGTTGCTAGTAAGGTTACTTTGTCTTTGTCTGTAGCTTGTAAGTAAAATTTTGAAAGGTACTCTTTCATTCTGATTTTTTAATGTTCTCCCAGTGTGGTAGTTCGTTGATCTCTTTAAATACATTTTCTGCCGCCCCCGCCCAATATAAATCCAAATATCTTATAAACTTATAGAGCATGCTGACTCCAATGGAAAAAGGAGTATCCATCAAGGATATTTCCGGTCCGTTTAATAAATTTTATCTTTAGTGTATCTAACGCACAACCGCACCGAAAGTATTTTTCTGCTCACCTTACTGGATGGCGAGCGCAGAATATCACCAATACCACCACCATTCCGCAAACCCTGATTCAAAGTTGTCACAATGCACATCACCAACGAGTCACACGAACGTTCTTTTTCATCTCCTCCACAACCGGCACCAGTAGCCGCGGGCGTAGAAGTAGCCGTCTCAGCATTGTTGCTATCACCCGTAAAGCTGCCTTTATTAAATGCATCCGGCGCATTACAAGTGCTGTCAGCGTCATTAGTCGGCTTCGATATGGTAATATCTGCAAGCGGAGTCGTTGTCGTGAGCATTTGAGACTCATCGGCATCCACCTCGACGAGGAAATCATCCTTAAAGAATATATAACCGATAATCGAGAAGAGATAAACCAAAATCAAAGCCAAGACGGCAGTCAGAACGATCGAACGACCGTTGCGTGTGACGGAGCGTATGACATTAACCAGAGTTTCTTCGCGGTAGACAACATCGAAAAGCTGTAGGGATAAAAAGATAACCTCATTGTAAGTACAAAGAAGATTAAGTATTTGTTGTTTATGCGTACCAGCAGTGAATAGAAGAAGGGATGAAAAATGAGACCACAAAAGCAGAAGAACATATATATACAATGATAGAGTAGCTGCATGTCTGTGATTATTTTGAAGAAGTTCTTTTCCAGCGTGCCATTATTACCCATTATGCTCACAATATGCACGCTTTTTAAGGTTACCTGCGTTAAAGAATCAAAATTAAGTCTCAAAATAAAACACTCTACAAATCTGTACTTACAGTCACAACCCCCAACAGGCAGAGCGTTGACTCAGGTCCAATTAAAAAGATGGAGCGCAATATCACGGAACCAATTAAAGTACGTATGCCTGACTCGCGTGGTAGCGTCACAACAATAGCGAGGGAGAAGAGGAGTATGGCCCAGAAGAGTAGGGATATATGTGAGCTGAGTTCTGCATAAAAAAAAATAAGTATAATTTTCTAAAAAGTTATTGGTGAAAATATAAAAAACTATATACCTGGTACAGTGTTGTCGAAAGGATAAAAGAATGCAACAATTAAATTAATGACAACCACACAATTAAACAGTATATTGCTCCATAGTGACATGTAACTGCTAACCCAGAAGAGAAACGGCTGACCTATAGGAAAACAAACATTATTTACATATTTTTTAAGAAAAGGTAATTAGCGCGAGAGAAAACTCTTCTTGAAAAATGATATCTTTTCCACTGACCTCTCAACTTCTTTTGCCATTTCATTTCGTTGAACATCTCCTCGGCTTTATCAAAGAAATCAGCCACTTTCGAGCCTTGATCATCTCGTTCAGCTGTATTTAAAATTTTGATTTTCGTATCAGTCGTCAAGTATTCGCAAATTTCGGGTATCGGAAAAACGATCTGCTCCAAAGTGCGATCATTACGTACGATCTGAATAAGAATAAGAATAAAAAATTAGTTTTAAAAATCAATCCATTGCGTTCCACTTTCTCTCTCACACACCTCAATTTGTGCCGTGTGAGTCGCATAATACATTAGAGCTTGACTCATCTTGGCATCGAAGTTGGACGCTTGGGGATCTTCACATGCCTTCAACAGCGCTGCCAACTCCTTGTTATGCTGTGCCAACTGGTGGCAAAGTATGTAAATGTTATGGCCCACTTCTCGCGGACTTACCGACGCATCATCATCCGACTCTGCATCGGCACCATCGTGATCATCATTCTCATCGATCATTTCCTCTTGGTGGTAGGCCTTGCAAGCGACTTCCACCAACTGTTTTGGATTCATATTATACAAAATGCGTTCAGCATTCTCGCTATCGCCACGGCTTTCCATAATGGCCAACAACAGTTTAGAGGCGTTATTCTTCAGCTCCAAAACGAGATCCATGCGGTTTTCACCCAACGGATTGATGTTGTTAAGTATAAGCGCCGTTATGATATCCAGTCCGTTTGACTCGTGCGTTGCTATGCAATTTTGATTCTCGTGACATGGTCCTTGACAGTATTCGGTGAGTGTTTCCAATGTTTGGTTGATGAGCGCCACATTGTTTTCGTTGATGTAGAGACCGAGCAAACCGAGGCCACCGGTAGTCGAACCACAGATGCAATCCAAGAACATTAAGGTTTCAGAGACGAGATTGTAATTGGTTTTGTTGTTTTGATTGCGCAACAAATTCTGCAGGTCGGGGTTATGATTCTCACAAAGCAGCTGCAGGAAACGTAGAATCGGTTGCATGACCAATACTTTATTCGATATCTTATTGCGGTCCTCCTTGCTGTCTTTGTGCTTTTCCAGCTTCTCAGCGAGTATGTCTTCCAGCGGACTGTTAATGCTGATCGCAGAATTTTCATCACCCGGATGAATGCTGCGTGCGTTGCCGTAAGCGCGTGCTGTTGCGAGGCCCGCATTGTGTAACTCCTTTTTCAGCTCGTCGGTGATGACGACACCATTACTTTTAACTCCGTGTTTTCGCGCTATTTTATCCAATTCCAAATTAACATCCTGCTTGTTTTCATGTGCCTTGGCAGCAATATCTGACGTATTCACTGTTACAGTGGATTTTATTTCTTGCTGTGAATCTTTCATTTTCTCAAAGAAGACCTTATAAAAGGCTTGATTGAAGTCACCACTAAGAAACTTTTGGTACATGCCTTTTTGTATGATGGGATTACCGCCCTCAAGCAGTGCTATGCCCAACTCAACAGCCTCCACGAAGATGGATGGCGAATGTACGGATTTGATGACAAGCTCAATAACCAAATCGGAGGCGCCCTCACGGTCTAAATGATTTTGCACTTCATGTAGAGTTTTACCAGCGCGCTGAAGATACTTAGCGCCAGGGCCATGGGTTACAAGATGTGCACGTTTTTGCTGCTCGAGCACGCCAGCATCCGTAATTTCTGTTTTACCTTTTTCTTTTTATAAAAGCGAAATGTGATTAAATACAAAGAAACAACTGAAAAAGTTTATTTTGCACAAACCTTCGGCAGACTTTTTTCCTACGCCACCAATCACGTCATCACCGCCAACACCGCCCATTATTCCACCACTTCCACCGCCCCCCTTCCGATCAAAGTACCTCATTAGTAATGTATTGCGTAGAGCATCCCCCTTCTCGCCGTAATTCACATCGATTGCCATCATTTCACGTAACGTACGCAACACCTTCACACACAGTTTTTCTTCCTTCTCCTCCAGCAGCTTCTCAGTATGTTTGATTAGCTTCCTAATGAAGCCGCCGCTTTCACAGCGCTTACGCGCCTCCGTGCCGGGCGGAAAGAGTAACTCCGATCTATACAGAATGTCAACCAGTAGCGACAACTCCGCCTCCACCACCGGCTTCAGTTGATCTTCCAACAGCGACACAATATCTTGCAAGCCCTCTATGATCGATCGGTCCAAACGCATTAAATTTGCCGAGAGCTGTGTCTCATATTTTGGCTGCTTCGAGGCCAATAGCCATTTGGTGGTCTGACGTGTTAGCAAGGCTGTTTTGCTAGACATCGACACCACCTGTTGCTCCAAGTCGAGCGGTATCGCAATATTACGCGTCTTCGCCGACTCAGCCAACGTACGAACGCAGTTCTCGACATTAAAGCGATCGGCCAGTGACAGCCACTTGCACTGAGTTAAGCGATAGGTGGCTTGCAGTATCTGAACGAAAATCATCTGACGCGTTTGCACGATGGTGCTCTGATCGGAGAAGGGGCTGGAGAAGAAGGTATTCAACACATTCGTTACACCACTCAATACATAATTCAGCAGTGTTTTATCGGCGTTGGCGCCAACGGCAATTAGTTGATTGATATCCACGAGAAATGATTTCTCAAACAAATTCCACATGTGACTTGACGAATAAATCTCCTTCACCTCCACCTCGGTGTCGATGTAACAATGATTGAGAAAATCCACATAAGCCTCCTTCACCTCTGCCATGCAGGTGGGATTGCAAATAATTGTGACTATATCGTCAAGTGAGAGCAAATTATTACACTTAATTTCTGTGTAGACATTTTTGCCCATAGTACAACAGGCCAGCAGCTTCACCAGCTCCACATGATATCGTAATGGACTCGAATCGCTTAGTGGCGACTTCTCACTCTGCATCATTGAGACGAATTGATTGAAAGAGGTTTTATCGTTGTAGAAGACAAGTACATCTTCACCGGCGTTAATCAGCTCTTGCATCACCATATCCTGACATTTGCGTATGAATTGGTTTTCCGCTTTCACAATCGTCTGAAGGAATTGCAAGTACACGACATGCCGACCGTGTATCTCAATGCAATGGACAAAATGTTGCACGACCTTGTCGGTGACCTCATTGCAAAGCGTGAGATTATCCTTGAAGATAGCGCAGACGGTTTTGGCCTCCAAGATCTGGAAATGGAAAACGAAATTTAGTTGCTAGACTTTATATAAAACGAAAGTGATAATGTAAAATGAAATAAAATAAAATAAAATCAAATCATACGATAAATTAAGTTAAAATGATACAAAATAAGATTATAATTGGATAAAATATAAAATAAAAATTTCAGTTTATTATAATATCAAATTTACTTAAACCGACTCTACTCACGCCGGGATTCAGAAACAGATCCAACTGGTTATGTAGTAACACTTGATTTTGCTGATTTCCCAAACAGAAATTCTGCAAGAACTCGTGAGCCAAACACATTAGTTCCTTCATCAGAACATCATCCTTTTCATCGTATGGATTCTGAAGCAAATCCAGTATAACGGTATGAACGCCAACATTGCGCAGAAGGCGTTGCTCGTGCTTGCGCGGCTTAACGACAGGACCTTACGTTAAAGAAATAACTTTAATCAAATTTCATCTACCGATATTAAATAATAAAAAAAAGATGGCCATAATAAACATATCCATAACTCAAGTTTTTCCAGATTATGCAAGGGTGAGCAAAAGTAAATTGACAAAACATTTTTAGTAAATTTGTGCGGAGAAATTTCACATTTAGATAACTGGGAGCAAAAGTACATTCACTACATTATATTCGCACATACCCGAGGTGACGCAGAATTTATTCATGCGTATGAGTATTTCCTTAACCTTTTTGTACTCATTGAGCTGTTCGTTTGATAATGAAGCACGATATTCACTGCTTAGATTGGATACATCAATGGCGGGGTCAGACGAGCGCTCAGTGGCTGGATGAGGAATAAAAATGAATTTGGAAGCAAAACAAAACGACGGTTTCAGTGCGCACTTACTTGCATTGAACTCATCAGTGGTTTTCGGCTTGTAGACCCACAGCTCGGACTTCTCGACGCTCTGACGCAAAATATCCAAGTCGGACTTGATTTGTTTATAGGACTCTACGTCACTGTCGGACACTAGTAATTGTACCTGTAAATGGTATGAAAATTTAAAATCCGCCTTTTCCCTCAGTCACAGGCCTTATTATGTCTCACGAGCAACAATAAGTTAATAGAAATGTAAATTATAAACAAAGAACTTGTTAGTACTAACGATATGATCCCATTTTGGCTAGACACGGATGGTTTGGATCGTGGATGGGTAACAGGGTAGTGTATAAATTATAGGACGTAGTTCAATTTTAAAAGAAAAGTGAGGTTAGTAAAAATTTAAAAATGTGGTTATAAACAGAAATGTAAAAATTCATAAAGAAACTCAACCAGCATTTCCCACAGCAAGATCACCTACCTGTCGAAAAGCTTGCAATACCTCCTGACGTTGACTGAAGTGTCTAAAAAGCAAATGCAATGCGCCGGACACCAGTGGCGGATAGTCGTGCATAATGAGATGCAGCAGCACCCGCAAAAAAGTACGGCCGCCCTGTCCATCTAAATCCAAATTCGCCGCATCGCCACTGTCGCAATCGAAAATGTCCTCTGCCTGCACACCAATTGACTCCAAATCGATATTCTTCTGACGTGTACTCAACGCAGCAGCAGCTGCGGCTGCAGCCTCCATTAGCGCTGCATTATTGTTGCTCGCCTCACTACTGCCAATGTTGCCATCACCTGGTGATCCCTCAGCGGTGGCAGCTGTGTTGGCTGCTGCAGTTGCTGCAGCTGCCGCGGCTGCAGCAGCGCTTAATTCGGTCTCATCAAATTCGCGCTTGAATATCGATAGGAGGCAACTGATTCTATAATCCAAACGTACATCCAGTATGAATTGTAGAATCTCAATTATCTTTAATTTCGTATCCATGACCAGTGGATACTCTTTCAGCATTTGGGAAACAGACTTGCGATGTTGCAACGCTAGGGAGGCTGGCGATGCGATCGCCTGTCCAACGGAGCCGAGTGCCAATGAAGTCATAACAGTGTTCATGTCGCCAATCGAACGGAGTACGCCTCCCTCAGCTGTGTTGGAATGTAGTGGTTAGTTCAAATTAAGTGAGTATTCGAAACAAAAAGAAAATAAATTTAACAAAAAAGAACGCTTGTAAGGATGTATGTAATATTATACTAGTCATCAATAACTTGACTAATAACGCTATTATGGCAACAACTCACCAGGTTTTTCTTCTGGAGCGGCTAAATAATTTAAATTGCAGAAGTTTAAAAGCGTTAAAAAAGCAAGCCAGAAACGAAATATTGGAAATTTGAATGCAAAAACCAACCAATAGTTAGCAAAATCAAAAAAATATACATATATATATATATATAACCAAGCAGGAAATATTATTAATTTTTATTGAAATATAAATATGAAGAATTGTAGAAAGGTCTGAGGCTGGCATTTGTTTCTTTACTATATTCGTATACAAATATGCATCGCGTCTGATTTATTAAAGATTAGAGTTTGCCCGCGACTTCGTCTGCATGGGATTCAAATTTTAGGAATTGATCGGTCTCAGGCTCACCTTTCGGAAACTAATTTTTTACACATCCCCTAAGTTTCAGTTCTATACGATCAGTGGTTTGGGCAGTGGGTTGATCTGTAAGTCGTTCAGGATTAATTCTTTATATACAGAGATTTAATGGCGATCGCAATAGCCGAGTGGTAAGCATAACGTTCGGTCCTGGTCCCACCAACATCCACAAGTTATAGAAAACTACTTTTACTAATTACGGTCGACCTGGGAAGTGGTAGCATTAGGCCTTCTGAGCGCATTTCTAACATGAAATGAAATTCCTTTGGCCTTTTGGAGGCGGCTTAGAATAAACAGTCGAGGGACCGATTTGTTGTAAAAACATCAAGACCCACACAACAATTTATAGGAGGAACTCTGCCGAAAACATTTCCTTTCTACATTTCATTGAAAATATGTTTTTAAAATAACTTTTCGGCGCGACTTACAATCAATATCTGTGTTCACGAAGCGTCCCGGTGGTGCGCCATCTATACCAGTTTCCGACACACAATCCAAAATGCAGAGTAGAGTTTTGGTTAAACGCAGCAAATCACTAAAGCTATAGAAGCCGAAGTAGATAAGATCGCGTGCAAGTTTTACAACCTAGAAAATATACGAGACATCAAGTTCTATCCGCGTGATGCACCAAATGCAAAAACAAACCTCAAAAGTTAATTTATTTTGCTCCTGATCGGTAAAAAGCCATACTTTAGTGGCCACATTACAAAGATAATTCTCGACAAAAGCGATGGTGGTATTGAATTTGGCGCGTACGGCTTCTTTATTTTGATCGGGTTGTTGGTTTTTGCCATCATAACTAAAAACCATGAAACAAATGTGATAATTTTCGCAATGAACTTCTGACGCTACTTACTCCAAAATGGACATTTTCGAAGGTATTTCACTCCAAAGGCGCGCATACTTTACCGGCGTCACTGGCTCTTGCGGATCACGATCGACATGCAAATGTAGCATGAGACGACAGAACGAGGCACGCAACTCATATGGCATTGTCTCATCGGACATGCATCTGAAATGTTCAAACACATTGAAATGTTTTGCTATAAATCGCAGCAGCAATAAATTTCAATAATTATGTATTCACTTGAGTATCAAATCGATGTCCAGATGAGGCGATAAGATATTCAATGCCAAATATTGACGATTCAAACACATGTTCGAAAACAGATTTAATTGATGGCGATAATAATTTAGTATGGCCGACTCCTCCTCCTTGCCTTGAGCAGCACAATCGGCCAAATCGCCCATCGAGCGTGAATTCTACAAGTTCAAAGCACATAATTTATATATTACTTGGATATTCTACCATTTCCCAGAGATACTCACTGGTTGTCCGCGCCATTTGAGATGTATTTCATATTTCTCCTCTAACTCTGGCGCGTCATTTAGGCTTGTTGTGTCCCAGCTGGTCGTTGTTGTTGAATTTGAAATCAAATCGGATTTTTCCTCATCGTCCAACACCTCTGTTAGCGTACTTAAGGGATATGAATCGTCGCCAGCACTGCGGTAGCCATCACTTACAGGCGCCTTGAAATGTTTGATCTGGGTCTCTATAAGTATGTCCGAATTCTTTGAACTCAGCACACTTTTGCAGATCAGCTCCTGAGTCACAGCAATCGCCTTCCGATTCGAAACACATAAATCAGAGAGATAGTCGAGAAATCGTGAGTCCCAATTTTGCATATTCTTGCGTACTAGGCCCACAAATGTCTCGATCTCAGCGGCTGTTATGTGCTTCTCCAGCAGTTTGCGATTGTTATGCAACAGTGCGGTGATGGTGTCCTCAGCGAGTATGTCATAGCCGATTTGTTTTTGCATGAGACCAAAGTGCTTGGCAATGTACTCCTGCGGATGATATCGGAAATGAAAAAAGTATTGAATTCAATTATCTGTTTCAAATATTGGGTTTTATACGCGAGCCTCACCTGATTCTTACGGTAGTCTTGCTGCGACAAGCGCAGTATACGGTAGCATAATCGAAAGATATTTTTGTAGGGACTATTCTTCGGATCGCTCAGCTCATCCAAGCGTAGAAATGGTGCTTCGCCACTGGGGTGCTCCTGGAATGGACCTTGTAGTATTTTAAACAACTGCTTTAGGATATATTGTTCGCGTAGCAACTTTTGACGATCCCGTATGGGATTCTTAATTGTCAATTCCAATGCCTTTGTCTTATTTTGCTCATTTTCCATGCCCGCTATGAAGAAGACAATATCCTGCAGAAGTGCTATCAGCGAGCGGCGCTCGTTTATGGAAATGCTGCCATCGACCAGCTTGTTCGTAACGGTATCCAACACTTTACAAGCATCATTTGCGAAATCCAAGTCACGCACCTCCACCGGCGACACCGGTATGAGTGCAAAAGCCTCTTTATCCTCTTTAATGGGAGAGCAGCAAACCTGCAAACAATATAAAATCAAATTGAGTTCAAGGTCTGAGCCGAAATGCATTGAAATTGTAATTTAATTGGTTGTCAATACGTGTGCGTGTGTTTGTGTTTCGCGAACGCGTGTGCATATAATACGTATGTGCGTGTGTGCATACCTTTGACATCACCGGCTTGTCATCGTCTATGTCGATGGGTATGGAGGTGGCATGCACCCAGGTGTTCGAGCACAAATGCCGCAAACGCACATAGCTCGACTGTGGCACAAGGCTGTCTGCACGCGCCATCGTTGTGGGGTCCAGTTCGAATACCGATGCTATTTCTGTGGAGTATGGAACCGGCACCAAGCGATATCGTTCACATTTGCTCTTCTCTATGTTGATTGGATGGAAATAAAATTTTACAATTTAATCAACGAGACCTTGCTGGTATCAACACTACACACTCACGCACTCACACACACATACCTGACTCTTTGAGCGACGTATCGAGTCCATTGCCATCCACTGTGTGAATCAATGTTGTATTGCCCACCGATTCCAGCTCGGCAGCTAAATAATAACCAGTGGCCAAGTGTTTAAAGCGATACAATGAATTCCAGTGTCCGGCACCGCCACGGCACGAGTCATGTTGCACAACTTCAACCTCCCACAATGCTTTGCTGCTTGTGGCCGCCGTTGCACTTGTACGTCCGGTGGTACGCAAAAAGACATGTTGATGCTTTTTATACTCATCCATTGTGAGGAATTTTTCCTGCTCGGCGTGAAAGAGACGCACAACATCGCCGCCCTTGAGAATGTGTTCCTGATTTTCCTTATGCTCCATGAAGAGTGTGATTTTCCATGAGGTCGAAGAGTTGAGCACATTCACCTCCTTACAGCCGGGATTGTCTGGTAGCTCATAGTTGGCGGCTACATGCAGATTTTGTTGCTCTGCATTAACTGGGTTCAATATGACTTTGTCGCCGACCACGACGTTATCGCCCGCGGAGCGCAGTTTGTAGAAGGGCATGATGTAGAACCATGAGCCCTCATTGCCGTTAGCGTCCAGGTAGACGCGCATTGCATTCTTTTCCAGCAGCGAGGGCAGGCGCTTGTTCATTGTCAGATATTTGTTGGACTTGAGATGAAGTAACTGCACGACACTGCCATATTGTACAACGGTACCCAATAGTTTCTTATTTTCAGTGTCATTTTGTTTTTTCTCGATTTCGGCTGCGTGCTGTGAAGAAAATGTAAGATAAAGTATCAAAGTGGCATTGATTCTTTTATGTAAATCTATTATTAAACGTTTATCAAAGCTTTGGGATTTGGGTGTGAACGTGAAGACTTTCTATAAGAGTCTTGAATACATTGAGTGCATTATCTCACATCGTGGGCCTTTGGCGCGGCTTTCAAGATCGTGCGATTTAACATCGCTGGACTATTTTATGTGGGGTTACGTGAACTTACTTGTCTACGCAAATAAGCCCTAGCCGATTTTTATAAAAGCTAAATATTTGACCATCACATTATATTGTGTGCCATTTATTTCTCCTTGAAGTAAAATATAATATATCCCTAATATGTTTATATATATAGTGCGTCATTAGAAATTAGTGCAGCGAATTGTATATGTCTACAAATTAAAAATCAGATTTTCAAATATTTCATAGTTTATTAACAAAAATATAATTCAAACAAAAAATATTAATTTCCAAAAAAATTTATGATTTTGGATTTTTTTACACCTTTTTGTGATCTTTCTACGCTCTTTTACTCGATGTACACCACTTGCGTCGAAAGTTTGTTATGTTCTTGCAAGTTCCTTTGCTGCCTTCAATTCCTTTTTGATTAGGGTCCAATATCTTTCTTTTGAGGCGCCTACCAATAATGGCAGGATACAAGATCAAGCCAAAAGAAGGAAAAACATTTTGGTTGGCTAAAAGTGTTTATTTTGCAAGCAATCTTTCACGTGAAGCTCACTATTAATTGTATTAGCAGTTAAGAAATGTTTGCTTCTTTTACCCCAAGTTGCGGAAACTTTGCCTTTCTTTGAGTTTTAAATTTTTTCTGGATGTTTCCTCTAGCAGTAGCCACATAAAATGCTTGGCCGGACAGCTGAGAAATGTCGGACAGGACGTAACTTTCGTCAGCCATTTTGCACAACTAGGTTTGCTCACAAAATCTCGCACCCTTTTTTCTGCCCATACCTTGTTTACGAAATCCGCTGAGATTCTTTTTAAACTTTTTTACTACCCGGGAAACAATTTTTCGACTAACTTTAACATCCCTCCCAATTCGCTAAAGCTATATAGCGGATTATTTAAAAAAAAGTTTAAGAATTAGCTCAAGCACTTCTTTCTCTCACTGTCCATGACTGCAAAAAAACTAAACAAATCAAGGTTTATAGACAACCGTTGACCTTCATTGAGCCAACATCGTCATATACGAGTATACAGTGGGCGGAATTTGATATTATATATTTATTAAAAAGAAATAAGTTTTTTCCTTTCAAAAATGTTTACGTTTGGCAATATGGGAAACATTTCTTAAATAGAAGAAAACACAAATTATAAAATTTTTTTTTTTGATTTTACGCACATACATATACAAACGTGATACATATTTGACCACTTTTTTATTAAAGAGGTGGCCGATATTATCCCACTGCACACTTTTTCACCGCGTCTAGTTCTTAAACACTATTTTTTAACAAGATATGGATCATCCATTATTCAAAAGCTCTTTATTCGACAAGGAAAATATGCGAAAATCGGGGTTTTTATTAAATATAAGGTTGTCAAATATCTCCCTTCCGCTTTTTTGTCTTTTGAATTTCGCGGCTATGTACAAAGCGCTACAGAGCTCGTATCTGGCAACACCATACATAATTTGAAAGGTCTTGACATAACCTACAAAACAACGCTATGCATGATTGGTTTGGATATTGCGTTCAACAGTTATAGACGTGTAAACATGGAGTTCACTAACGTCGAAATTCGCGCAATTTTAAAGTTTTCTTTTGTTAAAGGCAAATCCGCTAGAGAAACGTTCCGTGAGATTAATGGTGTTTTGGGGGATGGTACTCTATCACTTCGAACCGCGGAGGAATGGTTTCGACGATTCAGAGCCGGTGAAAACGACACCATAGATAAGCCAGCCGGCGGAAGACCTGTGACGACAAATACCGATCAAATCATGGAATACATCGAGTTAGATCGGCATATGGCATCTCGTGACATCGCCCAGGAGATGGGAGTTAGTCACCAAACCATTTTGAATCATCTGCAGAAGGCTGAAAGAGGCTTGTGAAAAGTGGCTGACCGAATTCTTCGCAAAAAAGCCCTCCTCGTGCTTCTACGAGGAAGGTATTATGAAGTTGCCGTCTAGATGGAAACAGATCATCGAACAAAACGGCGCATATTTTAACTAAATCCGATCACTGTAACACTTTTTATAAAACATTGAATGAAGAGCAAAAAGCGGAAGGGAGATATTTGACAACCCTATTTATAATACTGCTGGTACGATTTGAATTTTGTTTTAACGTTCTTGACATTATTTTCTCATGCCATTCTTATTACATGACGCCAAAAGTTAAAGCTGCTAACTACACATAGAAAAATTTAAAAAAAAAAAATTATATTAATTTTTATAATTTAAAAATTTTCGAAAACTAAAATACATTTATTCGACATAAAACTATTCAAAACTTTTTAATTGTGTTTATTATTAATTTTAAAAAATTTTAATGCAAGGCTTTAGAGTTTTATAGTCAATTTGTTAAGTTGTTTTATAGATAAAGTTATAAAAATTTATTTTAAAATCTTCGGCAACTCACAAAATTGAACCAGCCTCGTCATTAAACATATGATTTCGCTCTTGTATTCTATAAACCTTGCAAGCTAAGGAAGGGCTAATTTTAATTCATATGCAATACGATTTGACATATTTTTCAAAGCCAACCTGATCAAATAATTTCGAATTGTATTTCCAAGAAAGAAGCAATAATGGAAAATGTGTGCACTAATTTATAAGGACGCACTCTTTGCTATGGTAAATACTCTTACTATAATCTCTAAATTGCACTTCACTCTTGCTGATCTCTAACGAAGATGGCCAAACACATCGGATTGTTGGTTATGCATGGGAAACGGAAAGAAAAATTGACTTTCATAAACTCAAATGAACACTAAGAGAAAAAGAGCAGGGTCCTGACAGATAGATTCTAAGTGGTCTGACGCAGTTCTTAGTACATTTTAAGCCAGAGTATTGTTGAAGAGTCCATAACTGCCTCGACAACCCAGTCTTTAAGATAAATAATCTAAGCAATTTTTTGGAATATGGAAAATACAATTAACATATGTATATACGACTTATGTTCCCACAAAAATTTTGGGTTACTTTTTCTACATAACCTCTACCACTCACTTTAATCTACCATAGTGCACCTATAACCCGCTATGTGGGTTAGGCCTCTATAGCTCAGTTAAATGTCATTCATCTTTGCATTTTGATGCATAATTTTTTTTTTTTTTTTTTACAAATAAACCTACAAACATATAGAATATTTATAAAAATTGTTACTCACATGCAAACGTTTCAAAAGATTTGTATCTGTATTGGAACTGGCAGACTGTTTGGCGGCTTTCCAGAATTGCTTTTGTGCGGAATACCGATTCATTGGACAAACCTTTATAAGACAATCTGTAATTTGTACAAAAGTTGCATAAAAATCTTGCCACATAATTACATACATATAAAGAAACAAATTGCCGTCGCGCCAATGGAAGTGGCAGCTGCGAAAGGCAGCCCAAGCAAATAAGTTTGGCTATTAGAAAAATAAATAAGACCATAAAATAAGAAAAGGCTCAATAGTAAACTCACCTCTGAACTTCTTTGGCGGGTAATTCAAATCACCCGCCTCCGGGCACACCACAGTTCGATCATCCACAAGACTGTTTGGTTCATAATGGGCGGCATTGATTTCGTGGGCGATGTGGGGTTTGTTGTTAAACAAAGCAGCGCCGCGTGCAAACAAGGCGCATGAACGTGAAGAGACGGGCAAAAGCAGGTGACATATAGACACACCCACAGACGCACAAGTACGAGGGCACAATTGTAAGGGACGACGCAGGAGGAGTTCATATAGTGTTCCATTTGTGTTGTGTTGTGGTGGTTTGGCGGAAAATAAAGGAATAGTCAATAGTCAATAGTCAGTAGTGTATACAATAAATTAGCACGAAGTAATCACATAAAACGACAGGACACATATACGATAATTAGAAGAGGCAATAAAAATTCATAAACACATTAGACCTGGAAGGAGGCAAACAAATACTGGCATACTTTTAATGGGTTTCAGTATGAGAGTTTCAAGAGATGGAGAAATTCCGTTCTAGTCAATGTGTGCTTGTAGGTATTAGTAAATACCATGAGTTTACCTAATTACAATCTCAACACAAACAAATTAACATAAAAGAAGGTATGAATGGTTTGTAATAATATATATGTATATTACCTCATAAAAACCTCAATGGGTATATAACATTCATTCCGGACATTGGTGGTTCAAATGACAGGATGAAGTTTTGGCCTCGACCTTTTTACCTTTCATTAGCATATTAAATTTATTATATTGCATGTTTTTTGACGATATCAACCGCAATCTCATATCGGATATATCGGTGATGTAGTCGACAAAATCTGGCTGGTTCCGACAAAATGTCTATAAATTACAAAAATATACACGCATACCAAGTTTCATTCAAATACCTCAAACACTAAGAGACTAGGTTGCGTCCAAGCAGACGGGCGGACAGGTGACATATCTAAAGCTGAAGGGTGTTTTTTAAATGTGTGGTTTTTAATGATGTTCAACTCTTTTCAGATTTGGTGTTTTTGACAGCTGTTGTTTGATTTAGGCTCAGTTTGGCTTGCCGTTTCATAGCGAAACGACTTACCTCGGAACATAATTCCCAAAATTTCCAAATTTATTGCCAAAAGATTTTTTCGGTTCGCGCGTCAGTCGACATAATCGGAGGATGTTGATGTGAACAACTTTTGAATTCGATTTACTGAAGGAAACTTCAGGAGAGCGCATTATCTAGCGTGGTCTCAAAGATTGTACGATTTAACACCACTGGACCATATTTAACTGGGTTATGTATAGTAGCTTATATTTATAATAAACCGGACCAAAAACACCCTTATGTAAGTTCAACACCGAAAGATCCGTCAAAATTGGGAAGAGCCTCTCTATGTCGTTTGGTACCAAACGAGGCTTTGGACAAGGTGTTTCTCTTTAGTTTCACTTCTTTGACTTAATACTGGAGAGAATAATAAAAGCTGAAGAAATAAATAAAGCCCACGTAGTTGTTTATGCATGCCGATAATATTGAAATCATTGGCATTTAAACAACCCCAAAGCTCTGCTATCTACAGACTGCACAAGGAAGCGCGGCAAATGAGCCGAGTGAGTGAGTGAGGACAAAATATCTCCTGTTGTGAAACAAACATTCTGTGATGAATCACCTTGTGTCACTCTAGTCACTATTGACAGTGATATCGAGAAACCAATAGTAACACCAATAACAACGTTAACCTTGCAATCGAACGCAGAATAACTCTTGCTAACAGATTTTTCTTTTGACTGAGTAGGCCATCTCTCGTCGAACAAAAACCAAACTCTACAAGCCGCTCATCATACTCCTCCTACTATATGACGCAGAAGCGTAGACGAGAGAGAAAGGTTTTGTGGAAGATTTATGATTTTGAGATGGCGCAGCGAATGATGATCATGTCGTCTGGATGTATGAAAATACTTCAGCTCAGAAAGTATTCTATATCTCAGATAGGCGTTGAGTGGCTAATGGAAAAAATGACTGGCGCGCCAATTAAGAGAATATGTTATAATTTCCTCAGGTGACAAACCACCCATAAGAAGCATGCAGATTAGATGCGAGAATTTCAAAACATATATTGAATAGTATTCAAATGTGAGAAAGCAGGTTAAGCTCCTACTTGTCCAGACTAGACCCCAGCATACCCAACGTATGCCCTAAATGTGGAGAGTCTCCGCACGACACTAACCACCTCTTCACATGCTCTCTCAAATCAACTCATCTAAACCCCCTATCTCTCTGGTCCGAACCCGTCGAAACAGCTCGTTTCCTGGACCTACCATTAGATGATCTCGGCGACTTAGACTGATCAAGCATGTGCCTGAACGGGGTTAGCGAACCGCTACACCATGAGCAACAACCCAAATTGGTGTTGGTTGAACCAGGACTCAAACCCTGGCCTTCAGAGCGGCAGCGCGCAATGCTAACCACGCGGGTACTGCGGCCGCCTATGCTTCGAGTTAAGTCATTTCTAATATTTGCCATCGACTTTATTTACATTTTTTGCTCTTATACTAAGTGTATGTAAACAGTTAATTATTTATTAACTTACCCGAGTGTGCTGAGGAAGCCGCAAACACTGCCCTCCGCATACAGCGACACGATATCACCCAAATGCAGGAAACTCGCCGAACCAATTATATTGTCACCCATTGTGTTGGATGTTGAATGTTGAAAGTAGGCGTGCCGGTGGTCAGAAGCTGTTAGTGACACTATGCTATGTGCCCACTCTGTCTTGGGTGTAAATGGAAATTACTCTGCTCGAATGTGTGCTTGTATGTTTGGATGTGTGTAGATCCTGTTCGATTGCTTGTATTTGTTTCCACTTTGTCTTCTTCTTCTTCTTCTTCTCCACCGCTCTTTTATATATCACATATGAATTGTAAAAGTTTACTATTGTTTATACATGCATGGGTATGTGTATGTGAGTGTGTGTGTGTGTGTGTGTGTGTATAAGCAAGACGAAGCCGAAAACGAAGATGAATCGAAGAATGAGTGTAGATGTATGCAACAGCAATATAGAACTAGTTGTAGAAGTAGTAGTAATAGTAATTGTTGAAATGATAGTACTAGTTGTTGTTGTTGTTGTTTTTAACAGGCAGAGTTGTTTACTTTAACACAATTTCAAATTTGTGCATGTATGTACATACATATGTATGCTTAAGCGTCGCTTCGTCACAACAGCAATTCCGTTTCACCAAGTCGGATGTAGTTGCTTGAAAATTTCTGTTGCACAATGCTTGTTGTTGTTCTCACGTACTAAACATGCAAAGGTGTCTTTAAATATTCAGCTTTAATTGGCTGTAAAGAAAGATAAATCGCATAGATGTGTTAACTAGATGCATATGTACATATGTACATGTGTATGTATGTGAAAAAATAATGACATATTTTAGGAGCATAACGGAGGCACATCAATGTAAGTATAGTGTTAACTAGTTGTGGTGAGACACAAAACATATAAATGGACAAGTTCATGAAGAGAAGTAGGAAAATCTGTCTTCGGCCATGCCGAGGTCTCCCTACCTTTCATGACCATTTCAAATTTATTATATTTCACTTTAGGATTAAATAATAATTCTTATATCGGAAAAATGGGTCTTCCCATTTTGATAGTTTTCGGTCACAATTTTTATTTACGTATATACGTGTATAGAATGCAAAATATCACGCTTGTAGATGATTTTTTGACGGATTTTTTACCAAAAACCTCGTATCTGAACAAATCGGTTGTATCGGTTTTTATTATAAGTGAGTAAAATACCCAGTTTCATGGTCTTAGATGCTTTACTGAAATATTTGGGACCTATAATCACATATCCGAAAATCGGTTGTATGGGAGCTATCGGTTATAGTGTTCTTATCTATCCGGTTCTGACAAATTTTTAATACTCGTACAGTATAAAAATATATTTGCTCACTATGTTTGGTTGGTTAAACATCTCAAGAACTGAGGAACTAGTTTGCGTACAAACAGGCAGACAGACGGACCTGGCTAAATCAACTCAACTTGTCACTCTGACGCGATTGATGTAAATTTTGATGTTTCTACCCGTCCGTTTCTGGTACTTACATACTTCAGACCGCGGTTAATATAATCTTTCACGATTATGAAAGGTATATACAGACTTAAAATCAAATTGAAATGTTATTATCTAAAACTACCTTTGAATATAAATTTGGTCTTTACCTAAAAAGCATTTTCACAATAACTGTAAAACTTTAAAGTATAATACCTAACGCACATGTATACTTTAAAGCATACAGGCAAATATGTACGAGTATGTATGCATGTACATTTTGTCTAGGAAAGCAAGTCTGCCTCTTCGTACTCCAACATAAGTACATTCATACGTGAGTGTTAGTATACACGTATGTGTTTGTAAGAGCTATGTTTGCACGTTTGACTTATCTACGTGTTTCAAGAACGCACGTGGCAAACTTCTTACAGCGGAAAGTGAAAGGAAGAAAACTCAATTTTCCCTACGTCAATCAAATTATTCTTGTGTAAGGAGAAAAGGATGTTGCACTGGTTGGAATGACAGCCGATTGCTCATGGAAAGAGGAAAATCGAAATGCCTTGGAAAGAGCAATGCGGAATTTAATTTGATTGTATGTTACTGCACTTTTTAAAGTGCAATTGCAAGCTGCAATTAATTTCCCAACTTTTTAGCTGCGTCAAAAAAGAAAATTTTACTTTATACATATATACGAGTAGTAGTAGTAAATCCATCAAGCAAAAAATACTTTGTATCCTTATGGCATACCGTCAAATAAACGCTCTATTAAAATGCCAAGTAGAAGAAATAATACCACAAAAAAGCCAAATATTTGTAAAAATATGAAAATTCGTGCAAAATCATAAATTCTTACAAACAAACCATTTTTAGGTCAAAGTATAAAATGTAAGTAGGTATGTATATATTTATGTATTTATGTATGTCCGAATTGAAATGTAAATGCTGAAAGCGCGCTGAAAGCAGTTTGTCGAATACCAACCGGCTAAGAGGAAGAGGAAGCAAACGTATGTTTGAATGTGCACAAGTAAGGAAAGCGGAGGGAAAATCCATAGGGAGTGTGAACACAGCTATAAAATGATGGGCGGATAGATATCAAGCAAAGGATGAACACAAACTGTGTAATTTTAAAGAGATTGCTGCTGAGCAGTAGGGAGAAAGAGAGCCTATTCAGAAGCTGGTAGGCTGTTACAACGACATAGACACAATCTGAAATCGTAATAACATTATAGTAGGAGTAAGAACAACATACTACACAGCAACAACAGCAATGACCAAAGTAAATATTTTTGTTTGTACGGATGTACGGCTGACTTGTAAAACAACGAGCAGAAATGGAGCACCGAGTCACCAAAATCGTATCGCAGCTTCCGAATAGGTTCGAGGGAGGCGCGAAAGGCATAAATACATACTTGAGTGCAAACATACAGACGTAAAACCGTATTGTACATACAGTGGGAGTTAAAAAAGAGTACAAGCTGAATTTGTTTTTGAATATTTGCAATTTTATTCAGCCGAAATTTTGTATTGTTTAAAATTTTTTTTAAGAAAATTAGTTGATACTTACTTACTGCAAGGAAAAATTGATACCTGAAAGCAGGTAGCCACACTGACGACAACCGAGTAGACTCACTGTGCCCTTTGTTATAGATTTTATCAAACTAGATTAAGCAAACTTTTTCGAAATTTAGCTGGAAATTTGAAATTTAGCTTCGCCCACTTTTAGAATCCTTCAGAAAAATTTTCTGCTCTTTTAAGCTTCGTTTGGATTTATAAAAATTCGAATTTTTTACTCAGCCAAACGAAACAAAGTTTTACAAAACAACAGTTAATACAACAGAAATAACTTCTTTCAATCTATAGCTCCTTTAGTGCAGATTATGGAGAAAAGTATCTGTCATTGCAATTTCGGTAATTTTTAGATATTTTTTGCAGTTATTTTTTGTCATAAGTAAGTTAAGTTTTGGCGGATGCGGAAGGCTCGATTAATAATAAAAATCAAAATCAGCCCCTCGGCTGGAAATAACCACACTCCGAGTGTATTTCGGACATGATATAAAGCTTCTTATAAAAAAAAAACCATCAGCCATTCGGAGGCGGCTTAGTTTAAATTGTAGATCCGGCAAAATTTGAGATAATTTTAAATATTATTCTAAATAAATTATCAAAACCCGGTTTGTTGGCTATTTTTAGCTTCTAGTATTTTAGCTGAATAGCTGAGAAATTTCTGGCAACACTGATCCCAACAATGCTATGATGTTTAATAATTTTTATTTTTGAAAGCGTTTTTGGGCGATATTTTGAAATTTATTTGTTTTTTCTTAACATATTATTTTTGTTTTAATTATTAAAAATGAACCGAGGCAGCGTTTCTGAGAAATTCATACCTTTTATGTACATGAAATGGTAAATTATCTTTAATTCGAAGTATGTAAGTATCACAAGAAGGTATGGTATGCCAGGGTTGGTTTTGCAACATGTGGCCTGGCGTTGTCGTGATGGAAAACAACTCCTTTGCGATTGGCCAAAATCGGACGTTTTTCATCAATTGCTTTCTTCAATTCGACCAATTGCTGACAATACTTGTTGGCAGTGATAGTTTCTTCAGCTGGCAAGAGCTCAAAATAGATCACGCCTCGGATATACCACCAAATGCACAGCAGTACTTTCATCGGATGCAATCCATCTTTTGACATCGGTTCCGCCCCTTCGTGTGCCTGTTTCCATGTTCTTTTGCGTTGAACATTGTTGTACAGGATCCATTTTTCATCACCAGTCACGAGCCGATCCAAAAAAGGTTCGTTTTTGATCCGTCGAAGCAAAGAAATTGCTGTTGACATACGGTCCACTTTGTTTTTTTCACTCAACTGATGTGGCACCCATGTATCGAGCTTCAAAGTGTACCCAACCTTTTTTAAACGACGAAACGCAGTTGATTTGTTGACGTTCAATTCACTGGCAACCTCTTCCGTCGAAATACGTGAGTTATTCGCAACTAAAGTCCTTAGAACATCGTCATCAAGCTCAGAAGGCCGTCCACTGCGAGGTTGATCTTCGAGGTTAAAATCTCCAGAACGAAATTTCGCGAACCATTTCTTTACTGTGCGGAGTGCTGGAGCACGGTCCAAATAAACTTCGCGAATATCTTTAGTTGCAGCGCCTACTGTTTTTCCTTTGCGGAATTCGTATAACATAATATGACGCATATGATCTTTTTCGTTGTCCATCTTCCATGCGTCTTTTCACTAAGCAACTCAAATCAAAATGAAGTTATTTTATGCTTGATTTACAGTCACCTTTCCAACGATATATAGTATGTATATATTTCTTTCACGAGCGCCACTCTCAAACGATTCGAACGACATCCAGCGGAATCGAGCACGAACTTATGCACTCATCCAATACTTAAAAAGAAAAACTAACTTCACGATTTGATTTTGTTTCGTTTCGGCGCCATTTTATCGAAACGAAATAAAATTTGTAATGTTGAAACCGCACAAATTCATCGCACACTTCAATTTCAACGCTTAACATTATCGGTAAACTTAACATTTCCCGAAATTTACTATGATAACTGCTTTAACGATAACATTTCCAAATGTATCAGCCGAATCGATTGAAATATATTTTGAATAACGTGAAACGTATCGTGACAATGCGGCTATACATTTCAATGGTCATTTTTCGGAACCGCTCAGATCGGAGATTTAATATTCTACACGAAATCGAAAATCATTGAAATCGGAGGTCACTATCATATAGCCTCTTCGCATCAATTTTTCAGATTTGAGAATTAATATTTAAATTAGGTAAACAGATTGCAACGTCTCTTCTTCACTGTGTTTTTTTTTCAAATGCTCTTGAGTTGTGACTTTTCATAATTTATTGTTAATGTCTTTTTGAATGATTTACTTAATTTTAATTATTTTTCCATGCACATTTTTTCAGATAAATATTGGAGTTTAAGGGAACTGGGGCTAACTTTATACGGGGCTTTTTTTAATTCATATTTTATATGTCAGAAATTGTTTGGTTACGTCTTAGGAGTAAATATTGAAAAGATACCGGTGTAAAATTTTCCAATGACATAATCAAAATGTGAATTTGGCGACGAAAACAAATTTGAAGAGTCAAAACCGACACTTTATTTGTGAAAATATTTAAAAAAGCATCTCGATACACACTTTTCCTCTCTCACTGTATTTACAGAGATTTACATATAAAAATGTATATGTATCAATGTATATTCAAATACATGAATACACTTTACAAGTACTTTAATAAATTAAAAGGGAGAAATAAAATATTGGACGTACATACAGATGTAAATACAAACATATTTGCATTAAAAGGTAATAAAACTGAATTTAATTTAAATTCAATTAAATTTGATTAACCATCAATTGGCGTTGGACGAATTATACATAAATTGATCAAGCACAGACACACATATAACTACACATAAATATGTCGGTATGTATTTAATTTTGTAAGTATTTGAGTTATAAGAAAAATGTATTGTAGATAGCATATTATTTTATTGGGCCAAGAACATACTTTCCTCGCGCGCACACAAACATACAAACGTGTACATATATATGTATGTACATATGTGCTTACACATACTTCACCTTTGAACGTGAACGAGAGAATTCGGTGGTTAATACATTTATTGAAAATTGATTGCTCTGATTGATTTATAACACTTAGCGAGCATCACGCCTCTGTGGTGTGCTAATTAGCAATTCCATTTCGATTTGATTTTGGATATCCGCAATTATGTGGAAAATTGAGTTATTATTTTAATGCTCTAGTGGTTTTCGGATTTTTTTGTTTTCTAGGTAATGTAAAAATGTTTCTATTCGCATACACGGCACATAATCCATATGCACACAGATATGTTTGTATGTTTGCACAATTAAAATGGATACAACTTCTTGCAGTGAAATTCCCCTGAAAGGCACAGTTTAATATATATTTTATGCTATTTTTTTGGGCAAAATTTTAATCCGCAACCCACTTCTGCACACACATGCATACACATGCACACGTACAGCATCAGCATATTCAACTTTTAAAGCGAGAAAAGATTACCAGGTGTATTAAATGATGCTACTAGATGGATACTCCACACATTTTAGCCCGCTAGCATGATGATTTCCATTTTGGTTTTGGATCGTTTCGTTGAGATAAACAAATAATCAACTGACCACGAAATCACTGACGCACTCATCAAATATAAGCAAGCAAGCAAAAATTATTTTTTTTTGTTTTTTTTTTTTTCGTTAAATTAAATGAAAAAAATCTTTCGGCTATGTCCAATTGGCAAACATTGAACTGACCCACTCGCGCGCGCACCCTCTGTATGTGCTGGATGCTAACAGGCAACACGCGTCCGTTTTCGACTCGAAATAAAATGAAAATGAGGCCCCTCAGCAGACAAAAGCCAAAGCCACTGGAAAAGCTTTATGCGGTTGGACTTTCAGCGTGCAGTTATTGAGCGCATAGCAGGCAGTTTCACTCAAAAGTTCACTAAAACTTAATATAAAGGAGTACCATTTAGCGTACGGACACCCTGACTGTACATCTAATAAGAAAAATGCTAACTTGATTTAGGGACTATTAAGCTATGAAAGTATATGTGAAAGTTTAATAACAAAAAAAAATAATAATAAAAATGTACGGCAGGCTGGAGTGGCTAGTAGATGGTGCTCAGTCACCAGCAGCCGCTTTTGAGTGTGTTTACTAGTGAAAGCTTTCACATACTTGCTTTACCACTCGGATAATTACACTGCCACTAACACTCACATTTACATTCACTCTCATTTTCATTTTTACTTGTGTACTTACACAGATGCTTTGTTACGGTTTTCGGTTGCCTTTTTGGAGCATGGAAAATTCGCACGCACAAGCGACGCGCACATTCGGCTAATAATTAGCGGTCAATTTTGTTGTGATTCCCTTATTTTTTGTGTCTGTATTCATCGATTCAGTTTTTTTTTGATGTTCCCATGGAATTTTAATGAATTTTGTTTATTTACGAAAATGACCTAAAGTATTCCTACATATTAATGTGCGTGGGTGTATATGTATGGCTGTGTCTATTAGTAACTACTTGTATTTGCTTTTGTGTTCTGCGAGCATGGCATATAATGAACAAATTATTTATTGCGTTTTCACACGTACTTGCGGTTTAGCATGCAAATACGATAAAATAATAAAATAATAAATAAATAAATATTTACGGTAATTATGATTTTCATTTGAATTTTCGAATCAATTTTTTTTTCTTCAACATAATCAAAAGTAGCATTGTGTACAAGAGAAAGTAAAGTCTAAGTAGAGGTTTGCTATTTGAAGGATTTTTCTGGGTTAAATAAATCACATATATAAAACTCGGGTTGGTTCGAGCTTGACGGTATTATTTTCTTAGGGTGGTTACAAGGACGGCGTTAGGAGTTTTCGAGAGAAAGGTTTAGCGCTTTGGCAACGGCGAATACCGCAGACGATGGAACGTTGAGCTGTACGAGTTATACGGCGACATTGACATAGTTCAGCGGCTACGCTGGCTAGGTCATGTGATGCGAATACTCGAGCTTTGAAAGTTTTCGTTGAGTACTGGAAGAGGAAGACCTCTACTCCGTCATCCTGCCATATGCTGAAGAGTATGATCGAGTTTCCAGCAGGACAACGATCCTAAGAATACCTCGAATCGTTGTAAAACTTGGTTGAGACGTTTTGACGTTTTAAATTGGACTGCTCAGTTCCCTGATCTTACTCCTATTGAGAACTTATGCATGATTAAAAAAAATTAGTTTCCAATTAATTAGAAAACATCACGAGCAAAAATTGCACACAATTGCTTCAGTTTTGTCCAATACTTTATATATGTTTCTATGCTTTCTGTAAAGGTTTCTACGCGAAAAATCGTATTTAAGATTCGATTTGCTTAAAATCGAAAAACAGGTGGCATTTTGCTTATATTAACACGTGGACTACACTTTTCTCCTTCCTTTTCTGTGAAGATTAACAGGAAAAGTACTCAACTATCCGCGAAGTTCCTTTCAATATTCTTTCTTTTTGCGAGAAGTGGACACATTCAAGGTGTGGATGCTTCTTTTCTAGAAAGTGCTGCCATTACTTTCATTAGTTTCAGGCGAATACCTAATGTGAGCACCGAAAATTCTTCCCAATGTCCCATCATAATTTTTACAATTTGTTATCAATTTTAATTTTTGTTGTAATTTTATTAGCATTTTAGTAGCATTGTTAGTCTATATTATGCTCCGTTTAAGTGAAAAATGCCAATTAATTAGCTCAGCAATAAATATCGATTATTGCAGATTTCGCAGATTTGTTTAGCCTTGAAGTTACTCATACGCCCTGCCACATGGGCTATCCTCTGCTTAAGAACGAGGTGACTAAGTTTATATGCTTTGGAGTGTTTTATCGCTGACAAACATCTTCCATTCAAAGTATGATAGCATAATCAACTCCGTTATTTCAATGTACAATTCTGCATATGGATATTGGATAATTAAAAATTGTCAGACCACATACATTGCCATGTGGAAACATAACATCTTAGCTTGCTGTAAGCTGGTTAATTGTTGACATCAGAGCTCAGAATTGATAGTTTCGCCAGTTGTTGCAGTCCATAAAGGTAATTCTTCTCCAATCCCACCATACATTCAGCATCACTTTGTATGCCGTCAATTCATACTCTGAAGTCTATTTTGGGAGGTCACCGTGAAATAATTTTTGTACGAAACTCGGTCAATAATTTTTTCTTGCGTTTGTTTATGTGGCATCCAAACATTGAGCTTCTTTAAGTTTCCAGACTTAATTTTCATGATGACCAAATCGCTCAGCCAGAGGCCTCTGGGGAGCTCTAAAGAACATAAGGGCTTGAACGATCTGATGGCGGTTACAAGGTGTCTAGGCTTCGAACTTCAGCGGGTATTTCAGATCTCTTCCCACAGAATCTACAAGTTTCTTCTGCGCTGTGATCACACAGCCTGCAGTGTCCTTTGAGTAATGCTTCTAGTACTCATATGTTGTTTCTAATAGTAAAATAATTTCTTTGAATCTATTGCTTGAATTGTTTAATCCGTGTGCCTAAGCCAGTATATATTTCTAATTGCTTTTTCTTCATTTCTCAATTCTTTTTTTAATGTGTGCGGCCCTATTGAGAAGAAGGAAAATGGCTCTACAGTGGGAGTTGTTGCTACTTCTCTAACAAAATTTTCAGTTATTTAATTTTATTCAAAAAGACACCAAAGAACGTGAAATTAACTTACACATTCGTGCTGAGAGTTATCGGAGTCGGAGACTATAACTTAAGAGCTGCCATGGAACCGATTTGATCGATGTGTGGTTTTGGGCAAATAATCCGTCACAAAAGCATCTTAAGATGTGAAATTCGGTATTCTTCGAATTTACATATTTGTATGTATACAAATAAACATTCTCACCGAAAATTTGTTTGCTGAAATACTGCAGAAAGGCCAAGGTTCGAATCCTGGTCTGGCCAACAGCCAAAAATTGTACAAAATAAATTTAATTTCTCTAATTGCCAAGCTCCCCCAGGTGTATTTCTGACTTGAAATAAAGGTTCCTCATAAAAATCTATAGTCAAGGTGGAGGCAGCTTAGAATGAACTGTTCGTTCTTCCATTTCATGGAGAAACATCAAGACGCAAAACCACATATTGGAGAAGGAGCTCGGCCGGAAATCGCTTACGCGGTTACAAAGTGCCAATTATATAGATATGTATATATTAAAAATTTAGCTTAAATAACGAATTGATTTAAAGGAATTTAAAAATATTGTAAAATAATGGTCCTTTGCGCATTGGCAACGGCGCACACCGTAGACTATGGAACGATGAGCTGTACGAGCTATACGATGATATTGACATAATTCAACGAACGAAGGGACAGCGGCTACGCTGCCTGGCACTCCAGCTTTGAAAGTATTCGATGCAGTATGCGCTGGTGGAAGAAGAGCAAGAGGAAGACCTCCGCTCCCTTTGAAGGATCAGCGGGAGAGTGACCTGGTTTCTCTTGGTATTTCCACTTCAAAAAAAAAAGGCCTCGTAAGAATTTTGAAATTCAACGATGATGACTGATATCGAAAGTCAGCTCTTCAAAACCGGTTGCTTCGAATTTTTAAGATTTTATACCAGTGATTGAAATTAAATATTATGAACGAAATGTAAATACCAAAAGTGGTATACTGACTTAGGAGATACACAAGAATTTATAAATTTTACATATGTACATGCAGACATGAGTATACAGAAGTGTTACATACGTGTACACACAAACACACGTTATATGAATGTATTTATAAGTACACATAAAACAACTAAAAAGCTCAATCGCTACCGGCATAAAGTAAACAATAAACAACAGATAACGTACAGACAACTATGGCATCTATACAGATACACACCCACACACACATACACACACTTATCAGAGCAGACGAGAGAGCACGTGTTGGATAAGCACATGAACGAAGCGAAATCAGCTGATTGGGGAACGAGTGATAAGTGATAACAATACCACACAGCTGATGGAGCAACAACAAAGCCTGATAAAAACGAAAGTAAAAGGAAAAAAAAAATGTTATCACACATATATGTATGTGGATTATGGAGAGCCAAAAAATTACCAAAACTCACAGATAATTTAGCAGAAAACATAAAAGCTTTATTTGAGCTTTGAAAGCGTAATTTGTATGAAAAAAAGCTGTTAAGCAGATGCTCGTGAGCTTTTTGAGGATGCTAAGGATTTGTGCAGCATCGAAGGGGTTTGATTACAGGCATCTACTTCAGTGATACAGCGAAGTTGGTGGCATAAAGCCGAACGGTTGCGTCGTTGAGTGTTAGCAAATAGCTGAAGCTGAAGAGGTGCTCTAAAAATTCCATTCTCTTGCAAGTATATGTATGTATATGTAGTGATAGATATTTAAAACAAAAATAGAGGAAAAATCTTTGCAGATTAATTTTCTAACAGAAATGTGGGAAATTTAAGTGAATTTGTGCAACGAAAGAAAGAAAAATTATATTGAACCAAGAAAAAAAGCGGTACAATGTACTTTACTTTACTAAGAGAATCTAAACGTTTATGGGAAAATTAGCCCGTGGAATGGCTCATATAAATGTGTATATTAGTTTTTGTAAAAATTCTATTAAAGTGAAAAATTTTCGACAACACTTTTTGCAATTATCCTAACCACGATAAGGATATTCTTAATATCTTAAAAAACAATATGGTTTTTATGCAACGGTTTTTGAGAAAATCGAATATAAAGCAACACACCCAAAAACTGTGTTTCTATAACAAGGAAAAACGATTTATGTTCATTTGTCAGCTGCAAAACACATTAATGTACTCGGATCTCTGATATATGTATGTATATAACTGCATATGTACACGTACATATGTGTGTATGTATAAGCTTTGTTGGGATACTGAATGTTGGCACATATTATGTTTGTATTGTATAGATTTAACCTACATATGTATGTATGCATATTATATGTATTTGCCTTACAACAAGCTCATATATGCGTATATGGAAGGAGGTGGTGAAAGCAATGTCTTTTTAAGTGTATAGTTAGAGATATGTACTTGTGTTATGAATGTAGCCAAACTAAGCAAAAATTTAAGTTTTTGTATAACCTCGACACCGCCCACTTTTCTATTCAACTAAAATATCTTAAAAAACACTCGAAGGAAATTACAAAATAAAATTTTTGTTTATTGACAATCACGCCACCCAGAACCCACATGACGAATATCGAATATTTATGATTTTTGTCGACAAAACTCCAAACTTCTCTTAAGAGTGTACTACTACTGTCGTATGCCGAATCACGATTCACATCATTGGCCCAAACAGCCGCACCGTGAGTTCTGCTTTCTTCAGCCTGCACAAGGAAGCAGTTCGAATTTGTTTGGCAGTGGACGAGGAAAAAACCTAATATCTTCTAATGTCAAGTTGTTGGGAACGAAATTATCCAGGGATCAGCATTAACACCAATAATGCCAGCCAGCCAATAGCATTCTTGCAAACGGATGATACCCTGAACCAAGTAGGCAATTGAAAAGTAAATTCCTTTATCGACCAACAACAAAAAGTAGGTTCTACAAAACGCTCAATTTTTTTCGTTTCCGAATTATATATCTTTGCTAACTAGCAATTGCGAATACCCTAGACAAAGGATATCAGGCGATATTCGCTTATTTGGGCTTTATCTGGCTAGGTCACCGTGCCGCACCGATGAACGAAAATATTGAAAGTATGTGTTGTAGTATCCGCTGGTAGAAGCAGAGGAATAGGAAATCCTCTAATCTGTACGGAAAGATCAGGTATTATATTATATAAAGCAAAATATGAAAACTCATTTTCAGAAACGGAACACTAGATACAAAATTATTCGCTCATTGAGTTTGTCAAATATGTGTACCCTGGCAATATCATCTGTTGAGACCTGACATATTTTTTTTTTTTTGAAAATTAAATCTTTCCTAATAAATAAACTATATTATCACAATGACCTTACTTCTGACCGACAGATTTTTAATTAACTGAAGCGATTTTCGGCAGAGCTGTTCCTCTACTTTGTGGGGTGCGTCTACAGCTTATTCTGAGCTGCCTTCGAACGACCGATGGATTTTTAAAAGAAGCTTTTATGTGGCATGTCAGAAATACACTCGGAAGGATTGAGATTCCCTGCCGAGGGGCGATTGCAATTCGAAAAATAAAATTCTATAATTTTTGATATTGGTTAGACCAGGACTCGAACCCTGACCTTCCGAATGAAAGTAAATGCCGGTAACCACTCGGCTATTGCGGCAACTATTGTGTGTATAGACTCCAAATATCATTGGGTAAAACATCTGCCCATTCATTAGATTTTTTTGCATTTCTTATGTAAGTCCTTTTAGATATGAGTAGCTATAAGACCGTTAGAATTTTTATATACACATATATTCTCAATGTCGTCTATGTGATATAAAAAATATTCGAGTTTATTTACATTAATGAAAAAGTTCATTAAGAAAAGAGAAGAAAATCTAACAATTTTGCTAACATTTATTGTCTCCAAGAATTTGACGATTCAACTTTTACATTCCGCATTGTTCGAATGAGAATGACCAACAGCCGATGGAGGTTTCTTATATATTTACGTATGGCACAATCAATGCCATGCAAAACGATATCAACGTACATAATTGTAGTATACGAATACGACCGACGTCTTCACTCACCGCCCATCCCAGATGAAAAAGTGAAGTCCTTAAAATAACAACAGACAAGAGAATGGGTAAACTTAACTTTGAAGAATAGAAAGTTTTGTGGGCGATAGAATTTAAGATGAAAGAGCTGATCAAAATAAAACAAAAGGCGGAAATGATGATAGCACGAGGTAGTTATTTTAGCTAGTAACAGGCGGATGGTATTTAAGGAGACTTAGCGGTTATAATGCAGAAGCGTTGAAAGCTCTAAAGAAATTGTGGGTGATAGGCATGTTGATTCAGGTTATTTCAGTATAATTGAGTATGAATGACAAAAATGCTTGTCGCAATCAGCTGCTGATGTACTTTTGTGTGTAACTTTTGAACTGAGACGAAATGTTATTCTAGAACATTCCTATGTAGATATATAACTGGCAGTCAGGCGTCGCGTTAAAGGCGTTGATAGCTACTAAAGGTTAAAATATTTATAAAGCAAATGTAATTGTTGAAAACTTTGGCCTAAATTATTCTTTGGCTGATTTTAATTTTGGAAGCATAGATTTTTAGCACAAACTTTTGTTGGGCAAAATCTGTTTTATTCCATTAATCAGTTCACTAACTTTTGTGCAAATTGAAACCTTTGACCCCATTTCAGTGTACTAACGAAAATCAGATTTCCCGAATAACTGAAAAAGTTTTATTAACTAAAATCCTATGAGTGATGAATTTTTATTTATGTAGAATTGTTGAATTAATAATGCTTTGATTAGTTAGAAATTGGATGAATCGCTTAGTTTTTTTTTTTTTAATATTAATATTCGGTTGCCCCAAAAGAAACCAAAATAATAAAGTAAAATTTGGCGAAAATGTTTTTTACGGCCTCCATATTATAATTGACGCCAAAAAATATTTATAAACAAATTGCGCGTACTTTTTTTTAAATTAGGCCAAAAGTGACAGCATATACGAGGTGTGTTCAAAAAGTATCGCGAATTTCGAAATTTCTCGGGTTACGTATAACCGAATTTCGATTTTTTTGTTGCGTTATGTCGGTACTTATGTCTGTCACTTATGCCGACAAGCTCGGCCATTTTAAATGTTCACTTAATTGTTGACAGCTGCTTTGCTTGCACGTGCTTTGTATGGTCTTCGATTTTTACCTAATCAAAAAAATGGATCAAAGAATCTGTATCAAATTTTGTGTGAAAAACGAAATTAAGTGCAAGGATGCATTCCGAATGGGTTGACTGTGGCATACGGCGAAGCTACCTTGGACCGAAGCAACGTTAATCGGTGGTAAAAAATGTTCTCAGAAGGCCGAGAAGATGTGAACGACGAAGAACGTGAAGGACACCAGAGCACTTCAACAACAGATGAAAAAAATAATTGCAGGGGCGTGGTGCATCATGAGTTCTTACCACAGGGTAGAATGGTCAATAAGGAATATTACCTGCAAGTTATGCGCAATTCGCGCGAAGCAATCCACCAGAAACGCCCGGATTTGTGGAAGAACAAAAATTGGCTTTTGCACCACGATAACGCCCCTGCTAACACATCGCTGCTTGTGCGCGACTCTTTGGCCAAAAACAACACACTAATGATGAAGCCACCGTATTCCCCAGATCTGGCCCCCTGTGACTTTTTCTTGTTACCTAAACTGAAGAGGCCTATGAAAGGACGACGTTACGTTACGATTGACGACATAAAGACGGCATCGAAGGAGGAGCTGAACCAGATAAACAAAAATGATTGTTTGAAGTGCTTCGAAGATTGAAAAAACCGTTGGCATAAGTGAATAATATGGGGATTACTTTGATGGGGACAAAATAGATATTCATGAGTTAATAACAATTTTTGAAAAAAACACAAAATTCGCGATATTTTTTGAACACACGAATTGCGCGTGCTTTTTTTAAAATTAAGCCAAAAGTGACAACATATATATAAGTATGTAACTGTCAAAAGAAAAAATACAATTTAAGTCACAAGCTGATCAAAAAACGTCTGTAGGAAAAATCGCCCATTCCTTTTGGAGCAACTCAATATAATTTGTTTATACTTTGAAAAAATGTGAAATTATTAGACAATTTACTTATAAATCAACAACGGAGCGGCCGTGATAGCCGAGTTGTTAGCATCGCGTACAATCAAAATTGTAGACAAATAATTTTTTTCAATTGCGGTCGCCTTCCCTCCAATTTGTGGTATGCCTCATGATGTTTTTCCAAAAAATGGAGGGACCCACAGTTTATTTTCAGTTGCCTTCGAGCGGCTGTTGGATTTTCCTGACGAAATATTTGTTTTTGGTCAGAAATACACTCGAAGGGCTCTTTGTCGAGGGAAGACCGCAAATAGAAAACTAAGTTGGACCGAACATAAGTAAATGAAAATCTCACCAGAACATATAACAAAGTACAACTAATTTTTAATTAAAAATTTCTATATTTCATGATTTGCATCATTAAATTGTTGCAAAACATGAATACAAGCAAATCAATCGAATTGACTTTATCGCAACAAAAAAAAAGAAACAATACAAACTCTAAATTAAAGCCAATAAAACTAATAAATCTTCATCAACTAATGTATAATGCAAATGTATATGGGTCTGTGCCTATTTGTAATTGTAAAATTAATTAAGCTAAATATAGACCTCCGAGTATGGGAGACAAAATCTCCACGATCATTAACAACACTAATTGAGGCAAACAGATGCATGTGCGCCAACAGCGCAGCGCTGCAGCTAATAAGAGTACAATGAAATTGCAATAGAACACAAAACAACAATAACTACAAGCTGTTTAGTGCATGCAAAATTTGTAATAGTATGTGTGGGTGTGCGAACCGTGACACGGCACGCCGATCATTTCCTCTGCCTCGTCGCTAGCTTATTTGATATCATGAATATGTTTGCTTTAATTAGTGCTTTCGCGGCATGCATTGTAGTTAAAATTGAGATAATACAAGTGAATTTTTTTTTTATTGTAAAGACGGCTCGGGCTGATATATGTTTAAATATACTGTTATTTAAATATATATATACGTATAATTGATGCTTTATAATCGCTTTACTGATTTTCTCCCGCACATTAGTCGAGGTTGGTTAGTGCGTGTTACTATACGAAGGGGCATGAGCTCTGGCTTTAGAAATATCCAAAATTTTACCA